AGGCCTCGCACCACCCGCCCGTGTCAGCCTTCTACGTGTCGGGTCCGAGCCGGAAGAGGGAGCGTATTGTGTGTAGACCAGATCTCGGCGAAGGTCTCTGGGACGACAATCCGCATCGTACCGGGCTCACGCAACAAGGGCATCTTCGTGCGCCTCGCTGGCGGGCCGGGAGAGGGCGAGACGTACGACATCGCCCACCCATATCCTGCGCAGGAGCTTCTATGCGAGGCGACAATCATCGAGTGCAGTGCCTGGGCGGATGGGGAGAAGCTGCGGGCGGTGATCGAGTACAAGTGAGAGGAGTCGTGGCTGGGGAAGGCGCACTTCCTGGTCGAGGGCGTGATCCACACGTACAAGCCCCGGAGCACAGAGCCCCGAGAGTGGTGAGGCATGTCCGGCGGGACCGTGTCCTCGCAATGCTCGACGGTTCGTGGAAACACCGCATCCGGTGGAAGCGTGTCAACGCGCCGAGCCAAGACTGCTGAGAGATGAGTAGAGACTCGTGAGGGCCGGCAGTACAACGTACCATGTGGTGCACCATTCCGCGGCCTTGAGTGTAAGCTGTTGGTATGGCGGGCTTCGACGTTTGCTAGTCTCCGGACCCGATGTGAGAAGACGAACGGTGGGTGTTCTCGCTGCTGTACGAGCACGAGGGGTGACCGCCAGTTGCTACGGTCCAGGATGCATGCTTGTACATGAGGGGCGTCGAGGGACCTGTGTTGAGTGCCGGTGGTTGTCAACACCATTGTCATGATCTTGTGGGGAGGTAGGTGACGACGAGGGCGGCGTGAGCTGTGACCATTTGGGTAGATGCAAAAGAATGAGTAATCATGTCAGCCGGCGGAAGGTTCTCCGGGTAGTACTACGTCTGGACGTACCTCACGGGAGATTGAGTAATACCGGTAACGGCCATTATCTTCATCTGGTATGATCCGCGGAACCAAGCCTCTGCAAAACAGTGTCAGAATGATGGTTCTTGGATGACGGTTACACCAACTTACCTGACCACTGGCAAGCTCAGGCTGATAATCAAATTGGTCTATACTGTAAGACAGCCTTTCAGCTCGTTAGTGTCAGTACGACACAAGCGGTACTACATTCAGTGGCTCAGTACAATGTTGCTTTCGTCCCATAAGACTGCTGTATATCTTTGTCTCAATGGTCTACGCTTACGCTGACCTATTTGCCGATGTTGCTGTGCACCGAGAGAACCATCAAAGTGACTCACAGTGGCTTGTTCAACTTCTGCCGCCCGCGCCTAGTGTGCAATCAATCGCTGACTGCCACCGTTGCGAGAATGAGAACCTGACATCAGACAGGCCCGAAGCTTCTGGAATTGGGAAAATCGGTGGCCGGCTGGGATAATCCCCGCCGTTGCATGAGCCCCAAATAGACACAGGGCACTGTATGCCCGAGGTTATCAGCCAATGCCAGAGCCCCCGGAATTGACTGATCCCCTTGGGTAGACAGTGCCTTGTGCCTCCATAGCACTGTGCGGTCACTAGTACGTACAGTGTCATTGACTGTCTGCTATAGTTCAGTGCTACCGTGACAAATATTGCTCAGTCTCGGGTACATAGGTCCGAGGAACACCGGGAGGAACCATGTCCGCGGATTCTGTGTCGGCTGTTGTTTGGCAACCGTATGACTCCGATCTGGGCCCTAATTCAATCAATAACGGCAAATTAGCTGGCTGACAAACATTGAGTATGTGTACTTGCCACGTATATACCCTCATCCCGAGTAAATTGGGGCAAAACCTTGGAGAATGAGCGGGAATGGACACAGAGAGAGAAAGATCCCAATCCTGAAAAGGTTTTTGAAAGAGCGGCAATATAGACGGCACAAGTAATATCTACGGGAGCCTAAAGTCCTACCAGACGGTGTATATACCCACACTGCAGTCGATCGTAGAGATCAGCAAGTAGAGACGGACCAAGCAAAAGATTCCGGGGCTTGTATTGGCAAGAGATCGCACGGCCGATCTCAGAACACGAGGCTATCAACCACCACAATGGGCGCCTATTCACTGTCCTCTGTGCGATCCTCTTTTCTGTCGCTTTGCGGGCTTTCTCCATGGCCCAATATTGTTTTCTATCCAAGTATACCTCGTCTTGTGATAATGCGAGGGATACTGTAATAATTGGGCCCTCATCTGCGCCACACTGACTCGATTGTATCCAGCCGGCAGCTGCTATGAAGAGATCTTTGACGAAACTACATGCTTCACGGCAGATACTAGTTTGCTTTTGCGAAAGGCTCGGATCACGTAGTCAAGAGCGCCCAGATGTGATGGATCAGTTGTCATGCCCCCGTCCCGCTGTACAACCGGAAATTTGCTCGGCAGTCAGTCAGTAGTTGTGCTTGCTCCATTACGAGACCTTTGCAAGCGATACAGGACTCGGCGGAGTGCGGGACCCGATGACCGTGTGAGGAAATTCTTGAGACATGGCACGACTTTGACGGGGCGCCGCGCGAATGACGCATGGACCACCGCCCACACAGACGAGCTATAAAGGTCTGTCCTACCGTACTGACACCACCATCGCCACTGCTCTCCGGCTCCTCACTGCCCTCAGCTCCAAACTTCAATGATCACACTGTATCTTTACTTGTTACTCTCATACTTGTCTTGCAATTGAATGGTAGAAATCCTACAACGTGGTAAGTGATTCATTCTAGCTGTCGTACTACAGAAAATGACACCCCATGTCGAGATAGTGCTCGGCGCAAATAGCCCAATTGCAATTTGACCGCGCACTCGACACAAGGCCAGTCGGCACGCATTGAATGTCAGTTGCAACCTGGTCTTGTCAGTCACATATCGGGCGCGGTTGAACTTCGTATGTCCAGTGTTTCGTCCATCTGCACCTCATACTGAATATAGGTTTCTTCCATACCAACTACTGTGTACAAGTGCTTTATGTTACATTGCTCCCAAGTCCCGCTCTACCTGAAGTGCAGAGCGTGTCTAACACACGGCGGCACCCACATTGTACGTCGCGCTCATATGCGGAGCACGCCTACCGCCCGGGACGCGGCTATCTTCGAGTCAGGCAGTCACTGGTGAATACAGCGCGGTACGTACCCTGCCGCGTACACCTGTAATGCATATCTGACTCCAGTCGCAGCGCTGTCCGGTCACGGTGTCCATGCAAGACGCGCATGTCCAGGACTGCCTGCCTTGGTCAGTGCGTAGGCAGCGATGTCCTTGAGCTGAGATACGTACCTCGTGTGTGCTCGTCTCGCCAACTACTGCATTCTCACGTGAACCCCTCTAGTGCGATCCACTCCCTGGTAGGTATCCCAACATCCTAATGGACTGATCCGCTAGCCGCCTGGCACGGAATGCCGGGACTGCCCGTTGCGTCTCAACGACATCGATGTCGGCGACGATGGCCATACGGTGGACGCTGCTGCGTGAGACAGGGTGGCTACGATGCCCGTCGAGGCTGACGCAGCAGTCACGAGGATGGTGGTCACTGGCCAGCACTGAGTGGCTCAAGCTTGCACAGGTCGCGAGAGGGCTAGCCGGTCAGCGCGTACTTGGCCAGACGCAGTAGCGAGAGCAGCCCAATAGGCGATGGCGGACGAACGGCGCGCTCGCCGACATCTGCCTCGTCAACGACCCAACTGCGTGGGTGGTGCATCGTAACGCAAGTGCCAGCAAGGACAGCGGCCTGGGAGCAGTGAGACGCGAAGAGCTGGACGGAACATTGAATGGTCGAGTGTGACGGGCGCAGAAAGCACAGCGAGACTCGCAGCCTGAGATATACAGTACAGTCGAGACACGGCAGTGAGCGGATATGGTGGTGGACGCCAAGCAGCGACGGCGGTGCCGGTCACGGTGCAGCGTGTCGTTACACGCGGTCGCGTGCCCGCGTCGAGCGCGTCGCGTTCCAGTCAACATACTGCTTGAACGCTGGCGCTGACCGTCACAGACCGACAATTGTCGAGAATGACACGGCGCACGAGCTGTCTGCAGGCCCTGAACGCAGCGACGGACGGTCAGGTCTAGGCCAACTCGCCTCGCAGTGGTTACCTGCTCACCGCCGACGTCGGACAGCTGCGCCCGCACAAGGCTTCTGTCCACAGGACATGCCGTACTACGTGCGCCATGTTGCTACAGGTCTCCAACGTGAATAAATAGGCCGGCGTCATGCACTCGCGCCTCCGGGACGAGTCACACGAGTACACTGTCCACCTCGACAAGCACGCCCGCGACAGCTTCAATTGCAACAAACCTACGCACCCTGACTCGTCTCGACAGCCAGTCACTAACAGGCAGCAAAACTCGCAAGGCCCTCGCCTCGGCTGCCACGCGAGGAATACCGTGTAGAGTCAGCAATCCAAGGCGTTTACCGGAGCTCAAGTACGATGCGGCGTCGTATTGCGAGTAGGATGAGGGAAGCGGTACCGGCGAATGGATGAACATTGAGGTGCGTCAGACTCTACATATTCTCTTTACTTAGTCTCATTCACTATGTCCAGTTTCGGTGGCATGTAGCACACTTGTACATCACATGTAGCGCATGATGCTGTCCAATTGCTATCACCCGTGTCTCCCTCGACAACAACGTGTTTTCCTCCACTCTCTTTATCTCACAGCGCATCAAGACGTCCATTCACAGGCCAGTCACACAACAGCCGGCAATCCGTATGGTGCATACATCGCGTCGCACAGGCAATCTCTTCCGTTCGCAGCTGAAGGTATGTAAAATAGTTCGAGAGTGGTGTACTGCGGCTCGTTGCCCGTCGCGCAATCACATAGTGATGTCTCTTACTTGACGTACAGCGAAGTGGCAGTACGATCATCAACGAATATGCGGTGAGAGGGAAGAGCCATGTACACGAAGGTGCGTGTGTATTGACGTATCTAAATGTCCTCACCCACAGTATACATTCATAGGACACCCCACGTCCGTGCCGTACAAGTTCCCGCTCACCCCTCCCGATCTGCAGCACCGCATTCACGATCCCGCCGAGGCCCTCGCCCGCGATCATGCCCGCCGCGACTGCGTAGCCCAGGAGGAACCACGCGTTTGCCAGCGGCGCCGCCACACGAACGCGACCACGCTCCCGAACGTCATCGCGATGGGGTACGTGTTCGTCGGCCCGAGGACGAACGCGATGCCGACCGCGTTCCAGTTTGGGACCCAGTGCTGTTTATCCACGGGGATGTACCGGTACTTGACGAACGTGCTCACTGGCAGCGCCAACGCCATTAAGCAGAGCGCGACGATGCCGGAGGACGTCGGGATGGGCAACGACGAGCCCGACACGCGATCGAGACGGCACGCCAGCTCTTCACGTCGGGCACGGCGAACTCGCACGCGGACGAGGAGAGCGTGTTGCTGCACGGGTGCTGAACGCGACATGCATCGCGGCGCTGAGGAAGATGGAGACGAGGGCGCCGAAGCACTGCGCGTAGAGCGCACCCGCAGGGACGCGCCGAGCAGGTGTGTCGCGTTGAGGTCGCCGAGCATGTCGGAGCACAAAGATCAGTAAGCAATAAATCAACGATCAACCTGCGCACGAGATGAGTGTGCCCAGGATGAGGTGGGGTCGTAGTTAGACATAGTCGAGGCGCAACGGGGTTGTTGAGGACATGGATTGGTGCAACAATCACAGACGCGCCGCAGGAGGAACACATAACCCAACAGCGCGAGTCACCGAGGCAATCCTGCACCGCCGTACGCGCACACGAGGGACAAGGACGAGCACGATGCCCGAAACGTCGTCGAGAGAAAGTGGGGAAGATGCCAACGAGGGCGACGTAGCATAAGCAAGAGCACCCGCCGTTAAGCAGCCCCGCACGCGTCCAACGCACTGCAAAAGGATCAGCAGCGATGAGGGCGGGACTCATCAGAGCATCCCACCGCACAGATACACGGGACACGGCAAGCCACGACGACACGTACCACGCTGGCGAGGCAGCTGCGAGAGACGCAGAGTAGACCAGACGGCTAGGCGCACTCGGACGACCGTCGGGACTAGGGAAGCGACGTGCGCGAGGACGAGGCGTCGGCGACGGACATGACAACGCAGGCGAACGACGCACCATGAGATCGCGCGACGTTCTGAAGGGAGGCGGAGTCGTCGGAGAGGAGGCGGGTGCGGGCTGCGGCGGGGGGCGGGGACGGGGACGTGGAGCGGGAGACGGAGGCGGTGAGGGGACGGCGTCGGTGTCCTCGACGGGGGCGGTCTCTTCGCTGCTGGGAAGCAGGCGATCTGCGGGCGCGTGAGCCTATCAGAGTTCGATGAGTGGCGGTGTGCGCACCTGAGCGGCGTGCGTCGTGGCTCGAGTCGGAGCCGGAGCCTGAGGACGACATCGCTGCGGACGGGGGAGACGCAGCGGGCAGCGAGGGGCAGCGGGCAGCGGGCAGCGAGAGGCAGCAGGCAGCGAGGGGCCGCCGTGGTCGTCCTTATCGTGTGAGGCCACGGCGCGTCATCCCCGCGTTCACACGCGCGCTTATCTCTTCATTATTGCGGTTTTGGGAAGTCATGTCGCGCGGCGCCACACGTGCGTTTTTTGCACGCGGCGACCTCTACCTTCGGACGGCCATTGCTCCTCAACGCCTGCGAGTTTCTGCTTGATTCCTATATATTCTGGTTCTACTCGTCGAGCCCGAGGGCATGGTGCAACTCAATTTCGATTTCAACCAAGTCTCAAAATCGCGGTTTCCGAGCACCACGGCGACTTCGGACTGCAATTGCGAGCGAACGCAACATAGGGTGGGGTCCGCGATGGTACGGAAGGGTGCAGGGGGATGCTACGGAGGGCACAGGGCAGAAAAACTAGAAAGTTACCGTGAGTTCTCGTTGTAGCTCGCGCCGCCGCTGTGCGGCTGCGTGCTTGACAGGTCGCCGACGCAGGTCGGCCACCGCAGCGCAAAGGCGTGAGGCGTACCCGCATGAACGCCCCCATGGGGTGTATAGAAGGCCTACGGAGCGCATACACGCCGTTTCGGGGTACTTGTCCCGCTCCCCGTCGTTGTAGTGCACTCCGCGCTGGTGGTGCCTCCGTCTCGGCCCCTGTACATCCATTCTCGATCCACCGGCATATAGCATGTATCTACTTGCAAATTCTCCTGAAGAGTAATATATTCCTTTCATACTACTGTTCCGCGACCTTCAGGCCAGCATCGCCGTCAACATACATCACCATCACTGTACATCGCCGGCTAGGCGCCTTGTCGAGTTTATCCCAAACCACCATGCCCCGCACGGTCCCTCTGTCAGAGGATCTCCTCTGGCGTGTTGTGTTTCAACATTATGAGAGGGGGAAATCCCCACAGGAGATCTCAGACAACCTCCACATCAGTTTACGAACCGTCCAGCGCTGCCTTGCGCGGCATCGTGCAACGGGCGATGTTGCATACCATCTCGGTGGGCAAACAGGCAGACCCAGGTTAATCACAGAGGAATATGCACAGCAGTATCAATTGATTTTGCTGTAGCTACGCGGTGTACTACTGTACATTGAGGATGTATGTACAGGGGCCGAGACGGAGGCACCACCAGCGCGGAGTGCACTACAACGACGGGGAGCGGGACAAGTACCCCGAAACGGCGTGTATGCGCTCCGTAGGCCTTCTATACACCCCATGGGGGCGTTCATGCGGGTACGCCTCACGCCCTTGCGCTGCGGTGGCCGACCTGCGTCGGCGACCTGTCAAGCACGCAGCCGCACAGCGACGGCGCGAGCTACAACGAGAACTCACGGTAACTTTCTAATTTTTCTGCCCTGTGCCCTCCGTAGCATCCCCCTGCACCCTTCCGTACCATCGCGGACCCCACCCAATGTTGCGTTCGCTCGCAATTGCAGTCCGAAGTCGCCGTGGTGCTCGGAAACCGCGATTTTGAGACTTGGTTGAAATCGAAATTGAATTGCACCATGCCCTCGGGCTCGACGAGTAGAACCAGAATATATAGGAATCAAGCAGAAACTCGCAGGCGTTGAGGAGCAATGGCCGTCCGAAGGTAGGGGTCGCCGCGTGCAAAAAACGCACGTGTGGCGCCGCGCGACATGACTTCCCAAAACCGCAATAACGCGTGCCCCGATCGGGCGTGCCGAGCCCGCCGCGTCCCGCCCAGCCCCCGCCTCGCGCCCGCGCCCACGAGCCTCCAGGGCGACGGCCGACGTCGCGTGCCGCTGTGCCTGTGGCGGCGCGCTGCTCCCGAGCCGGCTCGGCCGCCCTTCGCCGCGCAACCCTCGCCCGCTCAACGGCCATCGCGTCCCGCCCTCGAACACTCCCCCGCCTGACCCGACCCGCATGTCCTGCCCGGCCTCCCCAGCCCGTGCCCAGCGCACCTGTCACGGTCCGCGCGTATCCCGCACCGGCAGCGTCTGCATGCAGTCCCAGGATGCCCGACGCCGTACATCGTACAACGTAGCACGCAGCGGGACGCACGGTTCGTCGCCCGTACTCGCACGTCCGCCACTCCATTCGCGAACCGCGCGTCGTATATGGCTAGGTACTCGCTCCCTATGCCGTGTACGGACCCGAACGTAGCGACTGGACCGCCTTACCCGCGCGCGCTCGTCCGATCCCTCCGTCTCCGCATCCCATCGTCTCCCTCCTCGCCGCCGCCGTGTCCCCTCGACCCGCCGCATCCGCGTATACGGCCGTGGCGGTGCGGTCTTCTCGCCTGCCACCCGTCCTGTACAAGCACAGTAGCAGCCGAGAGCGCCGCACCGCCAGGTCACCGCGAGCATGCGACGTGGCGCGTACGCCTAGGGTACGCCGTCCCATTTCATTGTCGTCGTCACGATGCGTTCCAGTCATTCCGCGCTGTTAGTGCAGTGTCCGCCTGCGCATCCTCATCCTTCTGAGTCCTGGCCGCGTTCTCCGACGCATTCGGGACGCGCATACGAGGTCAAGTGCTACTTGGCGCGGGCCGTACAAGGGCGTTCTCTGCAGCGCCGTGAGTACTTCCCTTGATACAACATAGCGACGATGGAAACTGATGCTTTCTGATATGAGGACGTTATGGTCGCCCTCGACGTTCTTGACCCCGGCAAGGTGGATGATAGCGAAGAGACGCGGAACACAGTGCACATGCAAGAGTGCGCCGACACAACCGACGGTGGTCGCATGCATTATAGCTCAGTCTCCGGCCGATTCACATTGTCTGATCAACGGTCATCTCATCTCACCGACTGCAGTCGGACCAGGGCTCGACGACGTCCAGCAGCTTCTTCCACCGCCCCCCGTGCCAGCCCTCCACCGCCCGCCACTCCGCGCTCTCCCGCCCCGCCACGATCCGCATCCAGACCAGCCACCCCGCCACGCTCAGATCCGCGTGCGTCAGCTTCCCCTCGCCGAGCAAGGTCGCCCGCGCGTCGCCCGCGTCCAGCCCGTCGCCCGCTGCGTCGAGCCACCCCGCGGCGACGCCGAACGCGCGCTCGATCGCGGCCCACTGCTGCGCGTGCGCGGGCGGGGGGCAGATCTCCTCCAGCGCGGCGCGGAACATGTGCTCGCGGGTGCGCCGGAAGTAGGGCTGGGAGGCGGGCTGGAGGAGGGGGTGCGTGCGCGGGAGGAAGAGGGGGAGGATCGGGGGCTGGACCGTCGTCGCGAAGGCGTGTTGGAAGGCGGCCTGGCAGGGCGTATCTCAGCTGTATGCGTGCAGGATGAGCGGTGGACGAGCGAGTGCGCACCTGGAATGGGCGCAAGGGTTTTGGGGACAGCGCGGGGGTGGCGGGGTACGTGTCGTCGAGGTACGCGGCGATGCGGGCGCTCTCGGCGACGAAGCGCTGCGTGCGCGGGTCGAATATCGCGGGGAGCGTGTAGGGCGTGGGCGTGCCCGGCTCGGTCGGCGCGTGGCCGAAGGACTGGAGGAGCGCCGCGATGTCGGGGTACTCGACCCATACCGTGCGGTACGGGAGCCGCTTGAGGTTCAGCGCGTACCTGCGGGACATGCACTGTACTGTGAGCGGCGTTGTGCGGGAGACGGGGAGGTGCTGACCGGGTCTTCCAGGTGTTGGGCGACCAGGCGGTGCTGGGCGTGCTGCTGGGGATGTCGTAGAAGAGGATGACGTCCGTGTCTGGGAGCGCGGCCATCTGACTTATTGGACGTCGGGGTGGGTTGTGATCAGGGCTCCTCTGGGTCCTTGCGTGGATGCGGCTCGCCTTGCGAAGGGCTACGCTCGCAGCGCTCACACTGCGTTCTTGTATTGGATCCGCCCCGCTCTCCGCGCCCTGTCGTGCCCAATGAGAGCGCGTCCCGCGACCAGGGAGAAAGGGTGAGTATGCGTTGTTTTCAGTGGCAGAAGGGCGACACACAGCGCTCCCTTCATGGTGCGCTCGCCGCACGCTTTCTCGCGCGTTTTGCACGTCTCAGCTCACTCTGCGCTACGGACACTCGGACGCACAGCAGAGCTACAGGTGAGTCCCCTTCTCGAAAACGGCTCCATCTCTCATCCCTGCGTCCCTCGCAGCCCCCTCGTACCAACTCGGCCCACCCGTCCCTCGTCTCGCGCCATCCACCGCCTCCCAGTCGACGCTCGCACTCGCAACGCGTAGCCGCTCCCTCCCGCTCCTTACCTCCGGCTCGCTCGCCATCGGTTGCGTCTGCAGCACGATCCGTCGCGTCTTCCGCGCTGACACGTCGACACGCGCCGAGAACGACTCTCCGCGCCCGCTGGCCTCACTCATTCACCGCCCGCCTCGCTCGCCAGACTGTGATCTGCGGCTGCGTCCTCGCCGTCGTAGGTGTGTACTCGCACCTCTCTCGTACTCGCCGGACGACGATCCATTGCGTCTTTGCCGGTCAAGACGCTTGTCGCAGCACCATGCGCGAAAACGCTGTGGGTAAGTGTCCGTGTCTCGCGGCTGGTCACTTTGCTTACCTCGCCTCCCGCTGTCCCCTCGCACCTCCACGTCGGCTGCCTGTCCCGCTCGCCGGGCGAACGTCCATCGCGCAATCGCTGACCGGGACGTTTGCCATTTCGGGCCCTTCTGCGCGTGGTGATCATCCGCGCGTTGAATCTGTCGCCGATCCCCGGGGTGCAATGATGGTCGCGTAGTGCCAGCATTGGGCGCGCACGGGCAATGAACCCAAGCAGGGTGAGGGACGAGCAAAGAGACCAGCAGAACAAGAGTGAATGTCGATCAATGACCGCGCGCGCGAACGGAAGAGCCCCCGAGCAAGAGCAGTCGATATCCCGAGCGGGCGGCCAATGAAACAGGCGGTTTGCAAGGGAGCAGACCGGCCTTGGACTGCAGCCGGTTGCGAGGACACGCGCAAACATGGACCGTCGCAGAGCTCAAGCAGCTCGTCAAGAGACCAAAAGTCTTCGACATCACCGCCGCCGATACCAGTATTGCAACCACGCGTGATGCGGTCTGAAGGAGAAGCAGGCGGGCATGTCGCTCCAGGCGAGGACGCGTCGAGCCGAAGGTCGACATCGACTACCAGAAGCTGCACGACATGCCAGTGGTCTGGCCAGGCCGTGCCGCGCGAAACAGCGCTGGGAACGAAGGTAAGTACCGCCGCACGGGTCCCAAGGCACAGCGCACGCACCAAGGCTACCGGGCGCAGACGTGTTGCACACGCCGCAGCCGTGCGCTCCAAACGCGTCTCGCAGAGGCCCTGTTGGGCGGCAAGAGATCAGAACCAGGACGAGAATGGGTGAGAAGCTGTGCGTACCTCCTTCGCGTGTCGATTCGACATCGACCGGCCGGTGCTCGTCTAATCACTTCCTTAGGGTGACTATACCGAGGCGTAGAGAACGCGCCTGCGGCGCGTCTTCGCCGCCGATGTCCGTCGAGCGCCGGTCAGCCAGGGCGGCGCGTAGATTCACTGCCTCCGCGTTCGTCAGACGTCGAGCGCACTGACTGGACGTCGGACAGCGCCCACGCCGACCGTCCAGTTGAAGGTACTCGGCGCATGCTCTTATTCGACCTCGAACATGCACGGCGCGACCGTGTGGGACGATGGCGCGGGTGGTCCGCGCGCTGCGTGACCGGGTGAAGATGAGCGAGCTGGAGAGGTTCGACCCCACGGAGCCGCCAATCCAGCATCTTGACCTCACCTCGCCCGCACCAGAATCGACGCGCTCTTCCCTGGCGCCGACTCCGGCACAGACGCCGCGTCTGAGACGGCGAGCTTGAGCGGTCGCAGCATCAAGAGCGGCAAGAGCGTCGTCAGCGGGCTTAGCACGCTGTCGCGCGGCACATCCACTCTAGGAAAGAGCACCCCGGTCGAGACAGACCTGGAGGCGGGCGTGTGAAGCCTGAACCTGAACGACGGGAGCACGGAGTTGTTAAGTGGAGGGTAAACGGCGCGTGCGCGTCGTGTACCTGACGGAGCAGGCCTCGCACCACCCGCCCGTGTCAGCCTTCTACGTGTCGGGTCCGAGCCGGAAGAGGGAGCGTATTGTGTGTAGACCAGATCTCGGCGAAGGTCTCTGGGACGACAATCCGCATCGTACCGGGCTCACGCAACAAGGGCATCTTCGTGCGCCTCGCTGGCGGGCCGGGAGAGGGCGAGACGTACGACATCGCCCACCCATATCCTGCGCAGGAGCTTCTATGCGAGGCGACAATCATCGAGTGCAGTGCCTGGGCGGATGGGGAGAAGCTGCGGGCGGTGATCGAGTACAAGTGAGAGGAGTCGTGGCTGGGGAAGGCGCACTTCCTGGTCGAGGGCGTGATCCACACGTACAAGCCCCGGAGCACAGAGCCCCGAGAGTGGTGAGGCATGTCCGGCGGGACCGTGTCCTCGCAATGCTCGACGGTTCGTGGAAACACCGCATCCGGTGGAAGCGTGTCAACGCGCCGAGCCAAGACTGCTGAGAGATGAGTAGAGACTCGTGAGGGCCGGCAGTACAACGTACCATGTGGTGCACCATTCCGCGGCCTTGAGTGTAAGCTGTTGGTATGGCGGGCTTCGACGTTTGCTAGTCTCCGGACCCGATGTGAGAAGACGAACGGTGGGTGTTCTCGCTGCTGTACGAGCACGAGGGGTGACCGCCAGTTGCTACGGTCCAGGATGCATGCTTGTACATGAGGGGCGTCGAGGGACCTGTGTTGAGTGCCGGTGGTTGTCAACACCATTGTCATGATCTTGTGGGGAGGTAGGTGACGACGAGGGCGGCGTGAGCTGTGACCATTTGGGTAGATGCAAAAGAATGAGTAATCATGTCAGCCGGCGGAAGGTTCTCCGGGTAGTACTACGTCTGGACGTACCTCACGGGAGATTGAGTAATACCGGTAACGGCCATTATCTTCATCTGGTATGATCCGCGGAACCAAGCCTCTGCAAAACAGTGTCAGAATGATGGTTCTTGGATGACGGTTACACCAACTTACCTGACCACTGGCAAGCTCAGGCTGATAATCAAATTGGTCTATACTGTAAGACAGCCTTTCAGCTCGTTAGTGTCAGTACGACACAAGCGGTACTACATTCAGTGGCTCAGTACAATGTTGCTTTCGTCCCATAAGACTGCTGTATATCTTTGTCTCAATGGTCTACGCTTACGCTGACCTATTTGCCGATGTTGCTGTGCACCGAGAGAACCATCAAAGTGACTCACAGTGGCTTGTTCAACTTCTGCCGCCCGCGCCTAGTGTGCAATCAATCGCTGACTGCCACCGTTGCGAGAATGAGAACCTGACATCAGACAGGCCCGAAGCTTCTGGAATTGGGAAAATCGGTGGCCGGCTGGGATAATCCCCGCCGTTGCATGAGCCCCAAATAGACACAGGGCACTGTATGCCCGAGGTTATCAGCCAATGCCAGAGCCCCCGGAATTGACTGATCCCCTTGGGTAGACAGTGCCTTGTGCCTCCATAGCACTGTGCGGTCACTAGTACGTACAGTGTCATTGACTGTCTGCTATAGTTCAGTGCTACCGTGACAAATATTGCTCAGTCTCGGGTACATAGGTCCGAGGAACACCGGGAGGAACCATGTCCGCGGATTCTGTGTCGGCTGTTGTTTGGCAACCGTATGACTCCGATCTGGGCCCTAATTCAATCAATAACGGCAAATTAGCTGGCTGACAAACATTGAGTATGTGTACTTGCCACGTATATACCCTCATCCCGAGTAAATTGGGGCAAAACCTTGGAGAATGAGCGGGAATGGACACAGAGAGAGAAAGATCCCAATCCTGAAAAGGTTTTTGAAAGAGCGGCAATATAGACGGCACAAGTAATATCTACGGGAGCCTAAAGTCCTACCAGACGGTGTATATACCCACACTGCAGTCGATCGTAGAGATCAGCAAGTAGAGACGGACCAAGCAAAAGATTCCGGGGCTTGTATTGGCAAGAGATCGCACGGCCGATCTCAGAACACGAGGCTATCAACCACCACAATGGGCGCCTATTCACTGTCCTCTGTGCGATCCTCTTTTCTGTCGCTTTGCGGGCTTTCTCCATGGCCCAATATTGTTTTCTATCCAAGTATACCTCGTCTTGTGATAATGCGAGGGATACTGTAATAATTGGGCCCTCATCTGCGCCACACTGACTCGATTGTATCCAGCCGGCAGCTGCTATGAAGAGATCTTTGACGAAACTACATGCTTCACGGCAGATACTAGTTTGCTTTTGCGAAAGGCTCGGATCACGTAGTCAAGAGCGCCCAGATGTGATGGATCAGTTGTCATGCCCCCGTCCCGCTGTACAACCGGAAATTTGCTCGGCAGTCAGTCAGTAGTTGTGCTTGCTCCATTACGAGACCTTTGCAAGCGATACAGGACTCGGCGGAGTGCGGGACCCGATGACCGTGTGAGGAAATTCTTGAGACATGGCACGACTTTGACGGGGCGCCGCGCGAATGACGCATGGACCACCGCCCACACAGACGAGCTATAAAGGTCTGTCCTACCGTACTGACACCACCATCGCCACTGCTCTCCGGCTCCTCACTGCCCTCAGCTCCAAACTTCAATGATCACACTGTATCTTTACTTGTTACTCTCATACTTGTCTTGCAATTGAATGGTAGAAATCCTACAACGTGGTAAGTGATTCATTCTAGCTGTCGTACTACAGAAAATGACACCCCATGTCGAGATAGTGCTCGGCGCAAATAGCCCAATTGCAATTTGACCGCGCACTCGACACAAGGCCAGTCGGCACGCATTGAATGTCAGTTGCAACCTGGTCTTGTCAGTCACATATCGGGCGCGGTTGAACTTCGTATGTCCAGTGTTTCGTCCATCTGCACCTCATACTGAATATAGGTTTCTTCCATACCAACTACTGTGTACAAGTGCTTTATGTTACATTGCTCCCAAGTCCCGCTCTACCTGAAGTGCAGAGCGTGTCTAACACACGGCGGCACCCACATTGTACGTCGCGCTCATATGCGGAGCACGCCTACCGCCCGGGACGCGGCTATCTTCGAGTCAGGCAGTCACTGGTGAATACAGCGCGGTACGTACCCTGCCGCGTACACCTGTAATGCATATCTGACTCCAGTCGCAGCGCTGTCCGGTCACGGTGTCCATGCAAGACGCGCATGTCCAGGACTGCCTGCCTTGGTCAGTGCGTAGGCAGCGATGTCCTTGAGCTGAGATACGTACCTCGTGTGTGCTCGTCTCGCCAACTACTGCATTCTCACGTGAACCCCTCTAGTGCGATCCACTCCCTGGTAGGTATCCCAACATCCTAATGGACTGATCCGCTAGCCGCCTGGCACGGAATGCCGGGACTGCCCGTTGCGTCTCAACGACATCGATGTCGGCGACGATGGCCATACGGTGGACGCTGCTGCGTGAGACAGGGTGGCTACGATGCCCGTCGAGGCTGACGCAGCAGTCACGAGGATGGTGGTCACTGGCCAGCACTGAGTGGCTCAAGCTTGCACAGGTCGCGAGAGGGCTAGCCGGTCAGCGCGTACTTGGCCAGACGCAGTAGCGAGAGCAGCCCAATAGGCGATGGCGGACGAACGGCGCGCTCGCCGACATCTGCCTCGTCAACGACCCAACTGCGTGGGTGGTGCATCGTAACGCAAGTGCCAGCAAGGACAGCGGCCTGGGAGCAGTGAGACGCGAAGAGCTGGACGGAACATTGAATGGTCGAGTGTGACGGGCGCAGAAAGCACAGCGAGACTCGCAGCCTGAGATATACAGTACAGTCGAGACGCGGCAGTGAGCGGATATTTGGCGGATATGGTGGTGGACGCCAAGCAGCGACGGCGGTGCCGGTCACGGTGCAGCGTGTCGTTACACGCGGTCGCGTGCCCGCGTCGAGCGCGTCGCGTTCCAGTCAACATACTGCTTGAACGCTGGCGCTGACCGTCACAGACCGACAATTGTCGAGAATGACACGGCGCACGAGCTGTCTGCAGGCCCTGAACGCAGCGACGGACGGTCAGGTCTAGGCCAACTCGCCTCGCTGATACCCAGTGGTTACCTGTTCACCGCCGACGTCGGACAGCTGCGCCCGCACAAGGCTTCTGTCCACAGGACATGCCGTACTACGTGCGCCATGTTGCTACAGGTCTCCAACGTGAATAAATAGGCCGGCGTCATGCACTCGCGCCTCCGGGACGAGTCACACGAGTACACTGTCCACCTCGACAAGCACGCCCGCGACAGCTTCAATTGCAACATACCTACGCACCCTGACTCGTCTCGACAGCCAGTCACTAACAGGCAGCAAAACTCGCAAGGCCCTCGCCTCGGCTGCCACGCGAGGAATACCGTGTAGAGTCAGCAATCCAAGGCGTTTACCGGAGCTCAAGTACGATGCGGCGTCGTATTGCGAGTAGGATGAGGGAAGCGGTACCGGCGAATGGATGAACATTGAGGTGCGTCAGACTCTACATATTCTCTTTACTTAGTCTCATTCACTATGTCCAGTTTCGGTGGCATGTAGCACACTTGTACATCACATGTAGCGCATGATGCTGTCCAATTGCTATCACCCGTGTCTCCCTCGACAACAACGTGTTTTCCTCCACTCTCTTTATCTCACAGCGCATCAAGACATCCATTCACAGGCCAGTCACACAACAGCCGGCAATCCGTATGGCGCATACATCGCGTCGCACAGGCAATCTCTTCCGTTCGCAGCTGAAGGTATGTAAAATAGTTCGAGAGTGGTGTACTGCGGCTCGTTGCCCGTCGCGCAATCACATAGTGATGTCTCTTACTTGACGTACAGCGAAGTGGCAGTGCGATCATCAACGAATATGCGGTGAGAGGGAAGAGCCATGTACACGAAGGTGCGTGTGTATTGACGTATCTAAATGTCCTCACCCACAGTATACATTCATAGGACACCCCACGTCCGTGCCGTACAAGTTCCCGCTCACCTTCCCGATTTGCAGCACCGCATTCACGGTCCCGCCGAGGCCCTCGCCCGCGATCATGCCCGCGGCGACTGCGTAGCCCAGGAGGAACCACGCGTTTGCCAGCGGCGCCGCCACACGAACGCGACCACGCTCCCGAACGGCATCGCGACGGGGTACGTGTTCGTCGGCCCGAGGACGAACGCGATGCCGACCACGTTCCAGTTTGGGACCCAGTGCTTTATCCACGGGGATGTACCGGGGCTTGACGAACGTGCTCACTGGCAGCACCAACGCCATGAAGCAGAGCGCGACGATGCCGGAGGACGTCGGGATGGGCAACGACGAGCCCGACACGCGATCGAGACGGCACGCCAGCTCTTCACGTCGGGCACGGCGACCTCGCACGCGGACGAGGAGAGCGTGTTGCTGCACGGGTGCTGAACGCGACATGCATCGCGGCGCTGAGGAAGATGGAGACGAGGGCGCCGAAGCACTGCGCGTAGAGCGCACCCGCAGGGACGCGCCGAGCAGGTGTGTCGCGTTGAGGTCGCCGAGCATGTCGGAGCACGGATATCAGTAAGCAATAAATCAACGATCAACCTGCGCACGAGATGAGTGTGCCCAGGATGAGGTGGGGTCGTAGTTAGACATAGTCGAGGCGCAACGGGGTTGTTGAGGACATGGATTGGTCAGAATGTCAAAACCTGCGCACACGCTGAAAGTTTCCATGTATCGTCGTGAAACTTTCATGAACTCACGTGATACTTTGCTCGCCGCCGGAAACTTTCATTCCGGAAACTATCGCTCACCAAACTATCCAAACTATCAATCCCGCTGAAACTTTCGTTCGCGCCCTCGGAAACTTTCATGGTACGGATTCTTTCAATGTATCAATGTATCGTAACTTTCAAAGTATCAATCTTTCGTGCTGCTGTCTCGCCGGCCGATCCACGGTATATAAGGTGGGCCTCCTGGCTGTTCAATCCCCATCCCGAGCTCTGTCGGTGCCTCGTAGCGGCGTTGATCTCCTTCTCCTTGTATGACCACATGTCGGTCGTCTCTGTTCTAGCCTTCACCGAAGAGAACTCTGCCCTTGCGGCTGTTCTCCCCCTTGATACACTCGTACTCTTCATCCGACTTGTCGCCCATCTGAAAGAGCGATTATCTTGGAATGTTTCAGCTTCTCTTCTAGAACCCCCAGCATTGCTGCCACCTAATATCCTCCAGTTTCTCAGCCTTGCTCTTGACACTCATCCCACAGTTCTGCAGGAGTGCTGGGCAGCCCTGCGCCATCACATATGGCATTCTCATGTCCATACACAAGGGTGGGGTTCAAGTGATTTGCTGGATATTTTTCTCAGCCATGGTACAGCCTTAGGAATTGGTATGTTCATTCTCATTCTCATCATGCACAGTGCTCATCTAGTCATTTCTAGGCTTCTGTGATATGTTCCCACCTATGCGGAGCTGTCTGGACTGCCAGGGCCATGCAGCTACTGAGGTATTTGACCTGACTCAGCTTGTCTGGACACAAGTCACTGTCTTCACATGCTATTGGGGTCCCATTCCTTCATGGTCACTGTCTGCAAAATGTCGTGGTATGCATGTGTTGACAAATACTGTGTGTGATGGTCAATAACTGATGTCGGATAGGCTGTCACACAAGATACTACCCGACCTACTATGTTCAAGACAACAAAACGATTCGTACACACTACCTAGGATTGCCTCATGCGATTCATGTGGCTACACATTCGTACATTGATCGCTCACTATGTGAGAGGTTTAGAACCTCCATGGTCTGCGCCTGGTGAGATTTCTCATTTGTTGTGGCATTATGCATATGATTGACATACTGATCTTCATTGTTAGGGTATCTGCTACCAATAATGCCCGCATCTACAATGAGGAACATGGGGATGTGTCATCTCGCTTTCCATCTGGGTGGCCTACAACAGGTAGAATGACCTGCCCAATGGTCTGGGATGCCTTCTTCATCCATTCCCTTCTTGAAGAATACTCTCAGATGCACAGACATCTTGTCCTGGACAATGATCAGCGCCAGGCTACACGCTTGAGCAATGCCATACGCGAGCGCAATATATCTGCCATTGGAACAGGTCAAGAGGAGTGGAGCCACGCATGCGACTTATGCTGCGTTGTTGAGGTTCAGGATAACAAAGCCTGTGAGTATTTTACCCTATAGATACAGTGTTATACCTGAGACATATCTGTGAGGTTTCTTGCGAGCTGCTGTCATGGACGGTATCTCAATCGGACGACCATGTTGCAGTGTCCACGACTGCAAGAATCCATTATCATCACAGCGAGCGCGGTTCTGTGGTGCCCACAAGTCCATGAACGATATCTGTTGCGTTGTAGATTGTAGCACCCCATCGGAGAAGGGATTCCAGACTTGCCATGAACCGACCCACCGAGCTCTCGAGCACGTCGGAACAGAACATCGCTCTGCAATGTTCCAGCTACGGAAACGACTCGAGCAGTCGGAACGCGCACAAATCGAAGATGCCCTTGGCAACGATGCAGGAGAAGTAGCTGCCGATGAAGTCGTGGAGGTCGACAAGGACGGCGAATGCGACGGCAAAGATGAAGCTGGTAACCTGAAGCCGCGGGCACGATTTGGCCGGCGCCGGACACACAACGAGCAGTTGTGCGTCGCTACTTGCGGTATAATTGTCGGCCGCGCGACTATGTTTGGATCCGAGGCACCAAATGGATGTCGGGTAGGTGGACATGATCACTGAGTAAGCTGCCCGCGTTCTAACCTCGTCGAATACAGGAGTTTTTGCGCCAGGTTTACCCGACAACGACGTCTCTCCCCAATTTTATCTTCTTCGACAATGCGTGCAAATTGAAGAAGCATATTGATGCTGTCGGTGACCACCATTTCGATGCATGCGCACTTCCGGTGGATGTCTTCCACATGAAGTCCAACCACAAAGGATCGGACACGTACTGTGGCTTCTTCTGCAATCCCGCTCGCTTTCCGGACCTCATACAAGGAGGAAAGTGGCGTTTCAATTCATCCGCGGCGGAAATGACAAACGCTTGGTTGGGTGGTTTCCAAGCGATCGTGCGCGAGATGCGCGAGGATCGCTATGACTTTTTCCTAGATGAAATGATCAAGCAGCGGAACCGGATGTTCATCGCGGACTTGCGCAATCGCGGTGCGCGTCCCTACCATATCCCTCGTACTGCACTATTAGACTAGTTACTGGCCATGTACAATTTGTGTTGCCCTCACCACGCATCTCGCCTCTCTGCCACTGCGTCCACCCTGCGCCTCGTCGTCGGACTCGCCGATAAGTCTGCCCTGCGCCTCGTCGCCAGACTCGCCGCTGTGTCCGCCCCGTCGCCAGCGCGTCGCCGCCGACGCGCCGACTGCCCGATCGCTCCGATCGGATCGGTCACCTGCCCCGGGCGCCTTGGGCGCGCCTGTCCCGCCACTGCCCGTGCCACGCTACCACCTCGTCGCCGTCGTCGACCACCTGCGCGTCGCTGCGTGTGGCCGTACCTGCCTCCTCGCGTGGCCCCCTCCCGCCACCGTTCCTGCCACGCTACCCTTCCTCGACGCGCCGCTGTCGCCGACCACCTGCAAATCGCACATCGGTTCACCACTCGCCCAGTGTCGCCACGCAGCCGACTTACGCTGCTGCTCGCCGCACCCTCGCCCGTCCGCCACCGCCGGCCGCACCCACTGCCCTCGACCGCACGATCGCTTCCATCCGATTGTGCGTTTTGCTGCGCTACGACGCTCGCCCGCGTGCTACGTCACCGCCGCCGCCCTCGCCACCTGCGGCTTCGATATCACTTGAGGATGACGGGGGAGAAGAGCCGCTGAGCAATGGGCTGGAGGATCAGATTGAGGAGGGGTTGACTGCGAGAGGATATTGCAAGCGAGGTATGTCTTCTCTGGTCGCCAGCCTGCTATGCTCATACTCGCGGTTCGTTTGCAGAGTATTATAAGGATCGCCCTAGCTAAGATGCGTATGTTCCCACCGGTCTGGACGAAAGTCCTCAAGCCGGCTCCCGTACATACGATGCCGGCGCGACGTCTACACGCGCATCTCGCGCACCAGCACCGACCGTGTCCCTGATCCCGAGCACGAGCCTGCACCCGAAGACCCACCAGCGAAGTCGCGCAAGAGGCTGCATCAATACTATGTTCCTCAGATGAGCCTCGACGGCCCACCTCCGGGCTCTGTGATCCTTGAGTGCCGCGACAACCAACGTTCGCGCAGGCCTCCTCTGTTATACGGCCTAATCGCGCTCGACTCAGAGCCTCCCAGCGAAGCTCGGATCCCCCGCGCGCATCCCCACTGCACGCGAGTCCTCCCGGCGCCTCAGCACCTCGCTCGCCCCGCTCGACTTCACGTCCTCGTGCGACTCGCAGGCCGTCGTGCATCGCTCGAAGCCCTCCCTCGCCGATCGTCCGGCCCGTGCTCGTCCCGCCACTCTTCCACACGACATAGTCGCCCGCCGCCCGCGCATCGCCTCCATGGATGCACACAGTGACACCCCCACTGCGCTCACTCTTCTAGTCCGATGTCCAGCGGTTCGCTGCGTCTTTGCCTCCTTCACGCGCACTGACCTGACCGGCGTGCACAGACCAGTCCGGCTAGGTATGATTTGTCCTCCCTGCACAATGGGCTCACCTCCGTCGGCATCGTCATGGCGCAAAAGCAGCTCGGCCTCCGCTCGCGCGCGTCCTCCGCCGCGTCCTTTTCTCGCCCCCCCCGGCCCGGCGCACGCTCGCAGAGCGTCACCGTGGCTGCGGAGAACCACTGTATTGCGATCGTGCGCGAGCTCGAGTGTGGCTGTACCAGCTTCACCGTCGACGCCCACGGACGACCATGCGAGCGTATGTGCATCTGCAGCTCGCTGCCCCTCCCGACCGGCCGCCCTATCTGTGCGTTCGCGAATGACAACCGCTGCACCGTCCGCACGCCGTCGCGCATCCGCCTGCTGCTGCTCGAGCTCCTCGAGGTGCTCGTGTCGATCATTCAGCCGGTCATATCCAAGACGACCGGCCTGTGCGTGCAGCCGACCGCGCTGCATCCACAGTATCAGCAGAATGTAGCACATGTGGCCCTCCTCCGGAGCGTGCTGGATGCAGACTTGATCCAGCAGGAGATAGACCACGGCTTGTTTGACCCCTCGGGTGTCTTCCAGACGATCGGCGATATCATACGGTGAAGACGTTCCACGAGAGCAAGGAAAGCGGCTGGCTCTGCATGGACGTCACGCGCGAGTGGCTTCGTATCGCACATTGCGACCTCTCCGCCCGCCAGGACTCCTTCATTCTCAATACCCTCCCCTGCTCGCATTTCACCAAACTGCCGCGCCGGACGCAGATCGACATCGCCGTGACTGCAGGGCTCGTCGACCTCATCTTCAACCCGCTGCCGCGTGGCTCCAGCTCCCAGCCGCCGTACCTCTCGCCACGCCCCACCGCGCCCGCCTCGCCCGCACGATACCCCGAGACGCTGTATCTCGAGCTACGTGAAGGACGCGGCGGACTTCGCGGCTTTGTACATGCTCCTGCTGCTCTATCTGTTGTCCGGCCAGCAGGGCCACGTGCGCCTCGCCCTCGACGATCTGCTCAGGCTCAAGAAGGAGATCTGGGAGGTCGGGCCCACGCACCTCGGGCTCTGCTTCCGCCCGCCCACGGATACGGGCGCGCGGGGGAAGCAGAGACGAAGCGGTGGAAGATGGAGATGGAAGATGTCGTCCTGCAGGTGACGAGACGTGCCGGTGAGGTTCGCTGTGGGCCACCTAATCCGGTCGACATCATCGCAGCCGGCGGCGTCTCCGAGCGTAGCAAAGTCCTCCGCCCCCGACGCACAGTTGACGAAGCTCGCGACGAGCTGGGCCGAGTCGAATCTGCGCGCTGGCTCCTCGTTGAGCACGCTGATGCGCGGGGGAGCTGCATCGATATGTGCGAGCGTCCGTGGGGATTGCGCGGAGGTCGAGGTGGTGAGGTGGCATAGCAATCACATAGTGGTTTCGTACACCAGGTTCGTCACTCGCTCGACACGAGCTGTCTGGACTGTGCGCTAACTGATGGGCACGTAGATGCCTCGTCGTGGTCCTTAGTGTGTACAAGTACATTCCCTCGCAGTCCGCGAACAACATGGGCAATGTCTCTTAGGACAACTTTGATAAGGTGTTTGCCTTCCTCCGACCTGGTGCGTTCGTCTCCCACTCCGCGCACATCCCTACTCACGCACTAATGCACGTATCTCCACAGCCATCCAGGGTGGCGCCGAGATATGCACATGTCTCTCCGAAGATGAGCTCCAGCAGGCCCTCGACTTCTGCATGCACCTCGTCGACCCGACGACGCCTGAGCAGCACGAGAGTGTCCGCCGCACGCTCGCGGGCCTCTCTTCTTCTCCATTCTCTGCCGCTGCGGATAGGCCGGAGGCGCTCTTGGATGTCTGCGCCGATTGGCGATCCATCGAGGCTGGGGAAGCTACTCTGCTTCCTACCTGCAGCTCGACAGGTACCCCGGCCTGGATGCGTGCGACGGCGTCATGGGCATGCCCGCGCGCGCGGCACACCGACCGCATCCTCAGCGAACTCCGCACGCCTGGCGCGCCCCCGCCCGTCGCGCTCCGTCGCCGCATCGTCTGCGCGGACATCCCCGGTGGCGACCTTGTGCGCGTGTGGACCTCCCTAAGGGTGCCTCCGTCTACCTGCACGGCACCGACCTGGACCCCGCACTATTGTGCGACACCACACAGCTGTGTGTGTCAGTTGAGGGCGAGGCCATGAGGCCCTGCTGCTGCTGTATGTTTCGTCCAGCCGAAGGGCCGCCGCGCCGTGCTCGCGTCGGGCGCACACGCTATCATCTGGAACACCCCCTCTGCGACGCGCATCAACAAGCTGTGGCTCCTCGGCGAGTGCATCGACGACCTGAGGTTTGTTGTGACCCTTTATGTGTTCCGCGTGTCTGCATGATCCCATAGTACAATGACCATTTGCCAATCTTTGTATAATATTACATATTGTATCACTTCTCGTCGTCAATGAGATCGTCTTCAAGTGTATCCTCCCACTCCTTTGCAGCTCGTTCAGCTGAGATGATCCCATCAAGGTACTTCTTCCATATCCCTGGTAGCCGTGAACTTGTAGCGACTGACAGACCCCATTGTGCAAATGGAGGATCTGGGCGCCCAGGGTCCCGCTTCATCAGGCTCGTGCCATGGACATCCCGTGGGCACCATGCAATGAAAGTGTTCGGTGCCATACACACCTTGACACCATAACTTGCGACATAGAAATTCCCTCCTTCGTCATCGTTCAGATTACGATTTGTCGTCCACGAATACGCATATCTGTGTGGCTGGTGTTCGGAATGCATCGCTCTATTATCTCATGAGTACATTCCCATACACTGTGCCATGGAGACATACCGAGCATAGTTAGCTCCCATGAATGCAGCGGGCGGAGCGAGTTCGGCATTGTGAAATTCTACAAACTCGCCCGCCTTCTCAACGCAGTACGTCCCACGTGTGCTACCCTTCTCTGCCATTTCGCCATTACCATCCATCCGACAAAAATTGTGCTCTGCGAGGAAATCCTCAAAGTCTTGGGTGATGGCATCTGGAAGACGGCCACACATCATATTGAATGAGAGGGAACAGACTGATGCCGTGCGGCATTCGAGGGACTTGAGGTATTCAGGCGGGTGCTTCTTGCTGAGCGTGTTGCGGGTCCAGACGAAACAAGGGCTAGATCGTGAACCTGCTGTATAGCCGATACAGACAAGGGTTCCTGGGTCTCCCTTCTGTATCAATCTACTTATTGAGTGTGCATTTCACATAGATGTCGGATGGCTCACCCGCACATTGCGCCTCAGGCTCGCATTCAAACCAATCACATCTCCTGCCCAATTGACGACTTGTTGATCACCGCAGAAATTGCGAATAACCGCGACAGCGATTTGCCCAGTCGCACAATCGTAGATGATGGCACTCTTGTCCTTGGGAACGATATGGGCGAGCTGCGAGATGTCTTCCGCCAGCATCGGCAGACGTTTCATCCGTTTGTCTGGCAGTGGGCCGGCCTCGATGTGAGGTCGCCAGAGTGCCGCGATCTCGGGGGTCTCATAAACCCAGTGTCGGTGGTCGGGGTAAGGAATATGAAGCCGTGGAAGACGGGTCTCGTACGCGATCGCCCTGAGGTTGGCCATCCGGACATCGTTGTCCATCCGGCGAAGCCCAAGATCTTCGACCAATCGCCGGTGGACTTTCCGATAGTGCTGCTGCCCTGCCTTCCTTTTCTTCATAGTGACCACCACGATCAAAGGTATCTCGTCTTTGAGCGTCGCACACAAACTGACGAACCCGGAAAATGGGTCTTTGCCGAGAATGGCCTCGGGTGTCGCACCCAAGCCACACAGGTGTCCGCCCAGGATACCTATGGCTTCCTTGTGGTAGCGGTCATTCCAGGAAAGCGTTAGGATGGACAGTGCGCGCGTATCCTGTCCCAGCCGCACTGCAAGCTGAAGGAATATCTCCCGCTTTGTCGCCATCGTATTGATCGCGCTGGCCTGTAGGAGCGATAAGCCAGCTATACAACGGTAAGTCACCATAGGCCACTTTACAAATTATATCGCACTCACGATGTCCGCAACACGATATATAGACGTGCAAGTGGGTATCATTCCGCGTTGCAGGTGCGAGCCCGTGCAATTCCAGTCACGTGATCGTGGCTGTGGCGCGGGCAGGACGCACGTTGCACAGCGCTCTGCACGCTCTCCCTAACGCCGTCGCCCGCCCCGCCCGCTAGCCCTTGGTTGTACTCAATACCGTCTCTCTGGGCTACTACTAGTATTGGCTTGTCCGTGTACGATGTCACGGTTGCCTTGGCCCCTAACGGAGGCCGGGTGATGGGTGCTCGTACCGGATGGGACGCTCTGCTGGCAGTACCAGAGTCCCATGGCAGCGCAGGGAGTAGCTCGCAAGAACATGCGCAATATCGGAGATCTTACACGACCATTGGTATGTACAAAGGAATTCAGTTTACACTGAATAGCACTGACAAATTTCCTTTGCAGCTGCTGTACCGCCCCACCACCGTTGCGGCAGTGCTATGCACCCCCGCCCCCGCCCCCGTCCAATGCGCCCGCGCCCTGCGAACAGCACCATACTGTCCCTCATGAACCCTGCCGACTGCCACAACATCAGCATTAAGACCACCGGCATCTAGCAGCCCAGCTACTCCCTCTCGCTCCTCCACGCATGCACCGCCCACCTCAGCTCCGACCCGTCCACTGGCAACGGCAACACTGCCCACGTCCGCGTCTCCGACGTCCTCCCCATGGTGCACCCGAGCGACCGTGTCTGCGGCGGCTGGGACATCTCCGGTGCGCGCATGGACGAGTGCCACGCCATGCTGCATATGGCCGCGCGCGGCAAGCCGCTCCCGCCGATCTACTACCCCGACTACATCAGTGCGCACCAGGCGGCTCGCGCGGACCACGCCATTCCCGGCAACGGCAAGCAGACCCACCTCGAGCACCTCTGTGCGGACGCCTGCCACTTCCAAAGCCAAGCACGGGTTTGACGTGCCTTCGTCTTTTGGACTGTGAACACCGAATGTTGCACAGCCATCCTCCCCCGTTCAACACGCTCGGCACCACGCCCCGGCGCGAGTGGCATTGTGCGTCGCACATACACAGCCCGCCCATAACGTCGGCATTACGCACCGTGCCCCGCCCGCTGTGCGCCCGCCAACCACTATCCCTCGCCACGCCATATCGCCCGCAGCATGCACCCGCCGCCGCGCCATGCCGCTGCCTCCCGCATCACTCTGCCATGCCCACCCATCGCACACGTCCGCCGACTGCATACCCCACCGCGTCGGCCCATACGCCCCGCCACCCGTATTGCGTCGCGGCGCGTCCATCTGCCTGTGCTCGACTCTCGTACCGACACCCCTCGGCCTCCGCCCCTCTCGCGCCCGGTACCGGCAGCCGCCCCATCGCCATCAGCTCAAGACCAGAGGTCGAGCAACCGTGCGCTCGGCACGATGGCCGGGGTTCGACGCGTTAACGCGTATGGCAAGGCCGCGACAGGAGGTTCCTCACGCGATGCGCAGGCCGCCTCGGCGCGTGTAAGAGCTAACGCAGACGAGGTTCCTCCATCCGGCGCTGCGTGAGCTCTTTAACGAGGTGGCCGCGATCCATTCAGCGGCTTTTGAGGACACGGATCCGGATACGAACGCACTGGTGTTCATCGGGAGCAAGACGGAGATGGCACTGCTCAAGTTCGCGAAGGAGCTTGGCTGGGCGGACTACAAGAAGACGTGTGAGGCCGTGGACATCGTGCAGATGGTCCCGTTCTCGAGCTCGCGCAAGGTGATGGGCGCCGTCGTCAAGCTGGGCGACGGCAGGTGCCGTTTGTACCTCAAGGGCGCAAGCGAGATCCTCGTGCGCAGGTGCACGAGCTACATCACCGTGACGCGGGGCGGGGACGCCAGTGGGTCGGCCGGCGTCGAGACGAGGGAGATCGATGACCCTGGCGAGGGATAATGTGCCGCGGACGGCCATCTTCTACGCAAACCAGACGCTGGGGGCGACCACACTGTGTTATCGTGACTTCGAATCCTGGCCGCCTGCAGGTGCGTCGTACACTGCGGATGGCACGGTAAGTTGGTCACTCGTTCCCTCTGCATCGCTCAGATTTCAATGCTAGGTCGAGTACGAAGATTTGGCCCGGGATCTGACTCCCATTGCGATCAAGGGAGGACCCTCTGCGAGAAGGTGTCCGTGAAGCTGTCGCGGACTGCTTCAAGGCCGGCGTCACTGTGAAGATGTGCACTGGGGACAACGTACTCACGGCATGCTCTATCGCGCTTCAATGCGGCATCTTCTCTATGGGTATCGCGGGCACGGAAGTTGCGAAGGAGGCGTCCGACATTATCCTCATGGACGACAACTTCGCGTCGATCGTGAAGGCGATCATGTGGGGTCGCTGCGTGAACGGCGCGGTGCGCAAGTTCTTGCAGTTCCAGCTCTCGACGAACGTCACGGCCGTCGTGATGGCCTTTGTTTCGGCCGTTGCATCGGCGTCGGAGTCGTCTGTGCTCTCGGCGGTGCAGCTGTTGTGGATTAACACCATCATGGACATATTCGCAGCACTCACTCTGGCTACAGACCCTGCATCTCCCGTGCTCTTGGACCGCTCTCTCCACCGCTCGGATACCCTCCCTGCCAACCGCTCCTACCCGCATTCGCAATCCTTGCGACACCTCGGTCTCGCCTTGTCCATGACGTCGCCGTACTCACGCCATGAAAGGGACCACGAACGGGATCGTGAGGAAGCAAGGATGCAACTGACGCCGCCGCCGTCCGGCCACTTGGGATCGCCTCCGACCCCGCTGTACATCGCCAGGCTGCCTGGTGTATTCGTTGGCGATAGCGATGGTGTTTACGAGATGGAGCGAGACCGTGTCTCACGGCCCAAGGGATCCCGTGCACAGAGCCCCGCCGGGACGGGTGCCGCAGAGCAACCACCGTGCGAACGACCACAGTAGCTCTTTGAGCAACACCCCGGGCCTGAACGGCGCCACGAATGGCGCCGCCAGAGGATCCCCGAGAGGCTTGCGTCAGACTCGAGCGAGGCCGAGAGTTAGTTTGCTCAGCCGGCAAAACAGCGACGCGAGCATGGAGACTGCAGGCAGCCTCGAGACTGAGGCGGATCTCGCAATGAGGCCGTTGTCGAGCAGCCCGACGAAGAGGTCGACTGGTGAGTTCATTTTTTCGTGTACTGTTTCGGTGGTCGCTGACGATCCTTCCTTAGGTGTTTCGTGGAGCTACTCCGACAATACCATGACCTACCCTATTCTGCAGATCCCGAAGAAGGAGAAGCACATTGAGCGCAAGATCATCGACGGAAGGGAGCAGGACGCCGAGGTCGAGGTTGAGGTACATCAACCTCTGAAGTGCCTCTTCCTCTTCCCTGGCAAGGACGGGCCTTAGGTGTAGCGCCTCTACCCTTCAGTCTCTTCTCGTCGCATCGCATCGCATTCGGACCTCGGACTTCATTGCATCGCATCCCTTACGCATTCCATACCCTGAATGCTGATACCTCCCGACGACATACCCGACGGCGTTCACGATGCCGCCACCTGACTTATTCCTCACAGTATCTCCCCCTGCTGCTCTCCTCGCTGTCGACATACATATCTCATCTCTCTACGCATCCTCATACTCAATTGCATCACTGTTGTCTCCGTCGCTGGGATATCTCGTCTGGACCCCCGCCAGCATCGCGCCCGGCGCAATCCACATCATCGTCATGGCTCCTCTCCACTGATCCGCCCTACCCTACCCGTCCTATCATCCGCTACCTCAATCCACCGCTAATCGCGTTCGCGCTCCGCGACACAGCAAAAATGTGCACAACAAGTGTAGTATCGAGTACGATAACCTAACGACCCGGTCTGTTCGCCGCCTTCTCGCTCCTTACGCCGTTTTCCGTCCCTTCCTATGCCGTCTTCGCCATGTCGCTGTCCGTGAGTGCCGCGACAGCCAGCGTTTGCGCAGGCCTCCTCCGTTACACGGCCTAGTCGCGCTCGACTCAGGGCCTCTGCCACCGCTTAGTGAAGTCCGGATGCCCCCACACGCGTCTCCACCGCGCGAGTCCTCCCGGCACCTCAGCACCTCGCCCACCCCGCTCGACTTCACACCCTCGTGCAACTCGCAGGCCACCGTGCAGGGCCCGAAGCCGCTCCTGCGCCGACCGTCCAGCCCGCGCTCGCCCCGCGCTTTCAGTAATGCTCTCCCACTCGACATCGTTCCCCGCCGCGCGAGCATCGCCTCCATGGATGCACATGCGATGCGTCTCAGCTCGCCCCCGTACGTGCACCTCGCTGTCGCGGCGACCAACGGCTGCGCACGCGGGATGGCGGCGTACTGGCAGGGCTCAGTCCCATGTCGAGCCATAACCTCTCGCACTCGCCCAGCTGTGCTTATCGCACTCCAGCGCGCGTTGCATGCGGCGGGTGTCGGCGTGTACCTGCACGTGTCCATGCTGGGGGTCGCGATGCACGAGTTACAGTGCACCCGCGGCGATGGAGGGGTTGAGTCCATACGCAGGCTCGACGCGCACATGCCCGTGCCGCCGCCGGGGCTGCTTCTGGAGTAGGGCTTCATGTTCGGGGCTGCGGCGCCGCGGCTCGAGTCGTGCGAGTCGGTGTTGAGCGAACTGAAGGAGCACGAATGCGAATCCCGTTTGAGTGACATGGTCTTGACCGCAGTGTCGGCCTGCAGGAGTGGTAAGTGAGAATACCAAGTAGCTAGAGTGACGGACCATGTATTACCAAATCGATCACTGGCTATACAACAATGAGTCACCATAGGATACAACATACTTTATGTCGCACTCACTTTGTCTGACACTCGAGAGATGGACGCGCAGGCAGGGTACCGCTGTTCGCAGGTACGCGGCCAAGCTATTTCGGTCACGTGACCGTCACTGTGGCGCGCTGGCAGGACGCGCGTTGCGCAGCGCACTGCACACTCTCCCTAACACCGCCGCCCGCCCCGCCTGCCCGCCCCACGTACTTCATGCTGTCTCTCTGGGTACTGCTTGTATCGGCCTGCCTGTGTACGATGTCACGGTTGCCTTGGCCCATCGCGGCCGGGTGATGAGTTGCTCGTACCGGGTGGGTTGCTCTGCTGGCAGTACCAGAGCTCCACGGCATCTCAGGGAGCAGCAAGCACGAACATCCGACATACCGGGGATGTTACACAACCATATGTATGTACAAACGACTTCATTTTAACGCGAATAACACTGACAAACGTCCTATGCAGCTGCTTTACTACCCCAACACCATTGCCACGGCCCACGAACCAAGGGCCCCCCGCGAACAACGCCGTGCCTGGCATGGACAAGCAGGCCCACCTCGAGCAGCTCCGCACCGCCATCCTTCGCGCGGACAACCATTGCTTCGCCATCTGCTGGACCGCAGACACAGAGCACTACAGCGACATCGCCGCCTGCGCGCTTCTCGCGCCGAACAAGGCGCCACACCCCTAAGATATTGCCCCCGGCGGTCCTCGCCGACGTGTCCATCCTCGAAGACGAGTTCTTCGCCAACGGCGTGCCCCAGCACACGTCCATGACATGCGCCAGCGGCTCGTCGGGTGCCACAAGGCATATCGCGGTGGGGGCGATGTCAAGTCGAGCGAGACGGTGCACAAGTCCGTCTTCGCGTGCCATGTTGGCCCATCGCCCAGCGAACCATGGCATGCCTGGTTGAAACGCCGCTGCTGCTTCTACTCGCGGGTACCGGCCGCCTCTGCGGTAGCCCGTGGCAGCTTATCACTCAATCCAGCTCGACACTCCGCGCGCCGACACCTTCCCCTCCGCCGGCATGTGCCATTGGGGCCATCTCAACAGCGAGCTCATGGCCTCACCCGATTACGGCTACGCCGGCGCGCTCTCGCGCTCCCCGGGGCCGCCATCTCTTGAGGCGACCGCCAGCCACCTCTCCTCAGCATCCACCGGGGCGGGTGCGACCGCCACTGTCGCGGGAGACCCTCGTCACTCCCACCGCAAAGTAGTACAAGCTGCGGATCGCCCGGAAGGTCTCGAAGACTGAGTACGCACCTTTTTATCTCGTAAACGCCCATCCGCTAACGCAGCTCCACGCGCAGATTGATGGTGGAGAGACAGCGGAAACAATGGCGCGCACTCGGGGTGGAAAACCATAGGATGAGAGGAAGAGCGATGTTGGGCGGCCGCGGTAAGCTCGTCCGTTCGCCATACACCCCGGCTCTTCCCCCGTATGCATGCTATGCACCCCCGCCTTCTCTCGATCTGCCAACAACCCACGCTTGATCCCTCTTGCACGCTCGCCCTCATCCTCGTCCGACACCCTACAAATGACCCCACACTCTCCGCCACGATCCTCGCCAACTGCCACAACATAGTCTGGCAGATCAAGACCGGTGTCTACCAGCCCAGCTACACCGGCTGTCTCTTCCGCGCGTGCACTGTCCACCTCGGCTCCAACCCGTCCGCTGGCAATGCTGTCCACGTCCCCGTCTCCGATGTCCTCTCCATGATGCACCCGAACGTCCTCGTCCTCGGCGACTGGGACCTCCAACGCCAGGTCATGCCGCACATGGCCGCGCGCGGCAAGCCGCCCCCGTTTATCTACTACTACAACTTCATCGCCGCGAACCAGGAAGCCCGCGCGGACGCTACCATATCCGGCATGGACAAGCTGGCCCACCTCGAGCAACTCCGCGCGGACATCCGCCGCTCCAAGGCCGAGCACGGGCTCGACCGCGCCGCCATCTTCTGGACCGCGAACACGGAGCGCCACTTCGACACCATCCCCAGTGTGAACGACGCCGACACACTCCTCACCTCGATCAAGGCGTCGCCCTCGACGCTCTTTGCCGTCGCGGCCATCCTCGAGAGCGAGCCCTTCGTGAATGGCGCACCCCCGAACCCGTTCGTCCCGGGTGCCAATCAACTCTCGCGGAGCGCCACAAGGTGTTCGCCGGTGGCGGCGACCTCAAGTCAGGCCAGACGAAGCTCAAGTTCGTCTTCGCTGAGTTCCTCGTCAACGCGAGCATCAAGCTGCTCTCCATCGCGTCCTACAACCACCTCGGCAACATCGGCGGGCACGACCTCACCGCGGAGCCGCAGTTCAAGAGCAGCGTCGTCGACAGCACCTCAATGTGAACCACCTGCTCTTCAAGCGTCCCGAGCCGGGCGTGGTCAAGGGCACGAAGGCTGCGAAGGGCGAGCGCCCCGCCCACGCCGTCGTCATCAAGTACGTCCCTGCCGTCTGCAACTCCAAGCGCGCGATTGATGAATACTACCCGGAGATCTTCTGCGGGCGGCCGCTCGAGGATCAACACCATCAACGAGTGCGAGGTGTAGCATGGGTCCCCGGAGATACTTATGCCGATGCTTCTGGCCGTCCGACCCGCCATGAGCGACACGCTCGCCGTCGTGGTCGCTCACGGTTGCCACACTCCCGCTCCCGCAGCCGTGAGAGCTTCATGAGCGTGGATGAAATGATTCTCGAGGCCACGGCTGGCGATGGCCATGATCGCCAGGGCGTCCCAACAGGCCGCCTGCACTCTCAGTCACTCACCCATCACCCATCGCAGCAAATGTCCATGCCGCGCGTGCGTCACCACTCCCAGTCGCCCATCGGCCGCGATTACCTCGCCGTGCTGCACTCCCGCTCTGGAGGTGCGTCGTGGCTCTCTGCCCACTTGGGATCCCAGTGATCGCCTCCGGCATTGCCGTACATCGTCACACTGCCCGGTGCACCCGTTGGCGATGGCAACGGCGCTTACGAGATGGAGCGAGACCGGGTCTTGCGGCCCAAGTGCTCCTGCGCGCAGAGCCCCGCCGGACGAGTGCCGCAGAGCAAACATCGCCCGACTGGCCGCAGCAGCTAGCCCAGCATCACGCCGCTGTTGAACGGCGTCCAGAACGTCGCCGCCCTGTCCGCCATAGGATTCCCGAGAGGCCCTGGCGGCCCACGGGCGAGCGGTGGCGACTCACGCTCCGAGGACATGTATGCTGGTGCTGGTGCTGGTGCCGACGTCGACGCGGAGGTCGACGCAGATGCGGGCGCAGATGCCGACCTGCTGGATGGGTCGACGTGGCCGAGGCGAACAAATCTCACGATGGCGAGTGGTTCAGAAGGAAGAAATGTACATCGTATTTTGTGGTATATTGTGGTCTAGTTGCTTGCATGAACTCACGAACTGTCGCTGCTGCTCTGTAACATTGTTCCCACTTGCTGTGCTGTATGTAGTAGCTGTATCGGTGCTATTGTGATGGCTGTTCGCATCCACTCTTTCGCTGGTGCAGTGATCGTGTGTCAAGCTGTGGCGAGGGGTGCAGCAACCGACAGCCATTTATTGTGTGGACATCGGCCTGGACTACTATGCCGGCTGTAAGATTATTTGTGGGTGTATGTATGGCCGTAAAAGCCGTGCACTAAGTGGCTAGCACTACTAAGTCGATCTAGGAGAAGTACTGGGGGCATGGGGGATATATGGGCAGGTATCGTGTAGTAGTAGTCGACATTATGAACAAGCTCTGGGTGTAGGCATTATGGGAGTGTCGTAGTAAGGGTTGTATATACTCGCCTGTAAATCGTTATAGAACATAGAGATTACTCACTTCCTGTATAGTCGTTAACAGCAGATTGTCCGGCATTGTCATTGCGAAAGAGGGCTTCAACCGAACCACTAGGTACTGATTGCGCAAAGTCTGAACATCGTCAGCTGTGTTTGCCTGATAGCCAGGTAGAGAAGCACATACCCGTTGAGAAAGTGGTCATACCGGCGACACCCTGTTCTAAACCGAACGTCTGGCGATTCCAGGCATCGGCAAGCCACGACGGCAGCTCAGGCGATTCGGGACGATAAGAAGGGGGGGTTGGGTTGTACGTCGGGTATATATTAGTATCCGATAACAGCGAGAGGTCAGATACTAGTAGCTGGGCATTCGCCGCACGAGGCGAACATATGGCAGCGAACGAGATGGCCTCCTGGGCGAGCATGGCCTCACTTGCTTGAGCAGCGACTGCTGGATCGCTTGCCTGAGTGACAAACAAACGAAGCGTAAGTTCCCCCCAACTTGACGACTAAAGAGAAACAAGGGTGTCCTTACCTGAGGAACGCCCGCAGGCAGCGATTCTGGGCCATTTGCGGCTTCTGGCCCAGACCGATGTTCGCTTGCATGAGCAGCGATGTCGCCCAGCGGTGGCAGGGGCAGTGCAGGACTTGCTGTCCCGGAAGGAGGCGACTCGGCAGCGGTGATTGCAGGTTCGGAAGGCAGCGGTTCGGGAGCAGCACTTGCCCGGGGATCAACAGAGCGTGACGAGGGTTGGTCCATTTCAGTGATTGGCATAGAATGAGGCTCGTGTGCCTGAGGGACGATGTCGAGGTGAGGCAGCGAGTGGGCGACATGTGCCTGAGGGGTAACTGAAGGCTCACTCGCCTGAGGGATCGATGCGAGAGGCGAAAGGCGACCAGCATCTTTGTCCCAAGGGAAGCGGAGCGATTTCGATGTACTGCGTCCAAGCTCCGTCAAGTATCGTGTGTAATCGCCCCAGAGTGCTTCCTCGGTGTTGAGGCAGCGCTGCCACAGATCTGCATCGCCACGCCCGAGATCGTTCCGAGCGTCGTCGACCCCTTTCGCTCGTTTACCCTTCCATTCGTATGCAGGCCAGACTGCCGCGCATGCATCTTCACGCTTGATTGGTGGGTTCCGTTGTGATAGCATCGTGTTGACCTTGATCAGCCCATTGTAGATGGACTCGAACGGAAGGCTCTTCGGAAACGATACATTGGCATTCAGGTATCGCCGTACCTGGAAGCCGCGTGGGATTGTTTGCAGAGGCTCGTCGCTGACTGATGACAAACCTACAATGAGTACTAGAGAGCCTGGGATGGGGACAGGCGGCGTACCTGAGTGAGATGACTTCCCGGGAGTACGAGTAACAGGTGGCTCGGACGGGACAGGGACCAAGGGTGCAACAGGGGTAGTATGGGCCGCCGAGAGCTCATCATCCTCTGGCTCCTCGTCTACTGCTGGCAGGGTGCGATCACAAGACGAGTCTGGCTCGGCTGAAGGGCTAGAGTGAGCCCTCCAATCGGCCATCGCAACACGAGTACAGATATGCCTGTTGTGCCTCGCAGCAGGCTCAGGTCCAGGTGATGAGTGTGTGTGTGGCCGCACAGTGGGAAATAAGAGTGGGTCCGACATACTGGCGAGCCGAGGTCGCTTAGCGACAGGTGCGAATGGTACAGCGGGGTCGTCTAGTGACCCAACAGTGCGCTTTTTACAGAGCGACTGCATCGCCGATTCCATGCCTGGATAGCCTGCAGTATCAAATGCTGATTCAGAGAGCGAAGCAATCTTACGGAGTAACAGAGTCGTCTCGTTTGTTGCGATGTCGCGGTAGCTTGTGGCTGATGAGACAGGCCATCGGTTCTTCCGGGGGTCGTAGACTTGGACATATGCCTTGTCGACACTCTGCAATGGACATAGGAGCTGGAATATGTCGTCGTGGTCGGCAATTCGGAATGCAGGGTATGTGTGTACGACGACTGGAGACAACTCCACCGCCTCGGTATCTCGCTGTGTAGCAGGTCCAATTGAGTTCCGAGTCGGAATGCGAGCGAAAGTTACTAGGCACGTACTTTTGTCCAGCATAACAGCGAGAGGGATCGCTGCCGTTGTTGCTGGGCCTCCTGGAGGTTTTCCTTCCGCTGTACTCCCTCGCTCTGCCATTTGCTGTGTACCTGCTGGCGCGCAGACAGCCAATCGAGGGGCATGTCCTTCCACAGCCGCACAGGCTGTGCGTACTGGCCTCGAATGTGGGGTGAGGGTTCGGAGCTCCTCGTGGTTGTAAGCGATGTAGGATCTGGGCCAGCCGAAGTCTCCTGAGAGGACGAGGATGCTGCCGTACCGGTAGGCAGCGAAGACGGAGAAGTGATGCCCAGCTGCACGTGATGTTCGGACGAATCTAAAGCACTGGCACCAGACTGCGAGGATGCTGAACCCGTGCCCGGGTGCGAGGAAGAATCATGCTCCAAGGACGTAGGTGGGGTGACGTATGGGCCCAAAGACGGCTGCGACGCAGGGGGCCTGGAAGCGCTGGCGGTACGCGCGGTCTTCGTGTTCGAACGAATCGAGTGTGGCGCACATCGTGGTGCGGGCATACCGGAAGCTTCCGCACGCTCGGATGCTGCGATGCAGCAGGACTTGCAACTGACCCTCTTGCAGCTCTGGTTCGCAGGAAGCCTACAGTGCGTACATAGCACCGAGCCACCTGAAAGCATCAAAGATAAGCATCATAAATCGATACCATGTGTGTAGACCACACGTACCTCTCATCTGAGCCACGTCCCTCCCAGCAGATCCACCTCCACGTGCCCAGCCTGAGGGAGTGCCCGAGTCGGAATACCCGCTGCGATACCAGGGTGGAAGAGGTCCGTCGGGGAGATAAAGTTTGATGACCTTCGGATCCCTATTGATGCGATTGACGATATCTTGTGCTTCGACAAAAGCTGAGCGACACGAGACAGGAGGAGGTGTGTAAAATACGGTAACAGGACACGACGAAGTCAGACACTGTGGGTATTACGTCAGCAGCGGATTGCGATCAGCATGGGATGGAGGCATACACGACGCTGAATGCGGCCACGATTGGAAGGGGTAGCAGACCCAAGATTTACGGTAAGGACTGTGGATAAGGGACGAGCGCAACGGCGGCACACAAGCAGGGGATCGCCCAAAGCACCAGTGGGCATGCAGAGACGTCACCGGCTGCCCTGCGTCTTTATATATCGTTCAACTTACAGCATACTGTACCGTTCGTCCTTCACAGTTCTCGCTCTTGCGACGATAGATTGAGAATACGATAGATTGAGAATACGATAGATTGATAAACATGTGTAGGCGATAACATGAAACTTTCATTCTTTTCAGAACGACTTCAGAATTTAAAAAGTTGTCGTCCGAACGTTTGAAAGTTTCGTTACGAAAGTTTCAGTGAAAGTTTCAACGAAACTTTCGTAAATGCCGCAGGTTTTGACGTTCCCGGATTGGTGCAACAATCACAGACGGGCCGCAGGAGGAACACATAACCCAACAGCGCGAGTCACCGAGGCAATCCTGCACCGCCGTACGCACACACGAGGGACAAGGACGAGCACGATGCCCGAAACGTCGTCGAGAGAAAGTGGGGAAGATGCCAACGAGAGCGACGTAGCATAAGCAACAGCACCCGCCGTTAAGCAGCCCCGCACGCGTCCAACGCACTGCAAAAGGATCAGCAGCGATGAGGGCGGGACTCATCAGAGCATCCCACCGCACAGATACACGGGACACGGCAAGCCACGACGACACGTACCACGCTAGCGAGGCAGCTGCGAGAGACGCAGAGTAGACCAAACGGCTAGGCGCACTCGGACGACCGTCGGGACTAGGGAAGCGACGTGCGCGAGGACGAGGCGTCGGCGACGGACATGACAATGCTGGCGAACGACGCACCATGAGATCGCGCGACGTTCTGAAGGGAGGCGGAGTCGTCGGAGAGGAGGCGGGTGCGGGCTGCGGCGGGGGGCGGGGACGGGGACGGGGAGCGGGAGGCGGAGGCGGTGGAGGGGACGGCGTTGGTGTCTTCGCTGCTGGGAAGCAGGCGATCTGCGGGCGCGTGAGCCTATCAGAGTTCGATGAGTGGCGGTGTGCGCACCTGAGCGGCGTGCGTCGTGGCTCGAGTCGGAGCCGGACCCTGAGGACGACATCGCTGCGGACGGGGGAGACGCAGCGGGCAGCGAGGGGCAGCGGGCAGCGAGGGGCAGCGAGAGGCCGCCGCCGTGCTCGTCCTTATCGTGTGAGGCCACGGCGCGTCATCCCCGCGTTCACACCCGCGCCTATCTCTTCATTAACGCGTGCCCCGATCGGGCGTGCCGAGCCCGCCGCGTCCCGCCCAGCCCCCGCCTCGCGCCCGCGCCCACGAGCCTCCACGGCGACGGCGCCCTCCCAGCGCACAGATCATCGACGTCGCGTGCCGCTGTGCCTGTGGCGGCGCGCTGCTCCCGAGCTCGGCCGCCCTTCGCCGCGCAACCGTCGCCCGCTCAACGGCCATCGCGTCCCGCCCTCGAACACTCCCCGCCTGACCCGACCCGCATGTCCTGCCCGGCCTCCCCAGCCCGTGCCCAGCGCACCTGTCACGGTCCGCGCGTATCCCGCACCGCCAGCGTCTGCATGCAGTCCCAGGATGCCCGACGCCGTACAGCGTACGACGTAGCACGCAGCGGGACGCACAGTTCGTCGCTCGTACTCGGACGTCCGCCACTCCATTCACGAACAGCGCGTCGTATATGGCTAGGTACTCGCTCCCTGTGCGGTGCGTCTCCGCATCCCATCCTCTCCCTCCTCGCCCCCGCCGTGTCCCCCTCGCCCGCCCGCGGCTTCCCTCGCCTGCCATCCGCGTATACGGCCGTGACGGTGCGGTCTTCTCGCCTGCCACCCGTCTACAAGCACAGTAGCAGCCGAGAGCGCCGCACCGCCAGGTCACCGCGAGCATGCGACGTGGTGCGTACGCGTGGTGCCGTCCTTGTCGCCGCGCGCAGCCCCCGCCGTCTTTTCCCCTGGTCGCTTCGTTCTGGGCTACGGACGCGCCTTGCCGCACACGACTCTCCTCGACCGCCCTGCTCGCACTCTCGCCCGCGTTGTGGCACGCGTCCTCCATCTGCCCAGGGGCTCTCGCTACGGCCGCTCACACTCGCGTTGCCCTGCCGCGCGCTGCCCGGGGTTCGGCGTCGACGACCTGCCTGCGAGGGACATACGGCCCGTCTTTCAGTGCCCCCTCTGCAAGCCGACGAGCCCTTTGGCTATGTACGTTCGACGCTCACGCGGTGCGCGCCGTCGAGACCAGGGAGGCTCTGCACGCCACTGGCACGGTTGCCTCGCCTGGTGAAGATCTAGGACCACGCTGTTCTGCGTCCCTCGATGCAGGCTCGGACTGTCGGGCGAGTCGATGCGCATGTGGGTATTCGACGTTCAGCGTCACGAACGTCCCCACGTGTGGTTGTGAGCTCTGAGATGGCCTCCACAGGACCGCGGGCGTCACTCGAGGCTGACAGCAGCGAGGCACTCGTCGTGGCGCGGGCAGCACTTCGCTACCTTCGGTGATCGCTGGATGTGAACGAGACAGGCCTAGCGTACGTCGTCCCATTTCCTTGTCGTCGTCACGATGCGTTCCAGTCATTCCGCGCTGTTAGTGCAGTGTCCGCCGAGTCTTGACCGCGTTCTCCGACGCATTCGGGACGCGCATACGAGGTCGAGTGCTACTTGGCGCGGACCGTACAAGGGCGTTCTCTGCAGCGCCGTGAGTACTTCCCTTGATACCGTACAACATAGCGACGACGGAAACTGATGCTTTCTGATATGAGGACGTTATGGTCGCCCTCGACGTTCTTAATGGCGGCAAGGTGGATGGTAGCGAAGAGACGCGGAACGCAGTGTACATGCAAGAGCGTGCGCCGACACAGTCGACGGTGGTCGCATGCATTATAGCCCAGTCTCCGGCCGATTCATCCACACATTAGGCCCGCTCAGACTGAACGGGTAAGGGTACGGGTACGGGCAAGGGCAACGTCACGGGACGTACCCGGGCGGCTCAGCCACGGCTGCCACGCAGCCACCGAGAACGTCCGATCGACTGGGAGGGGCGTTGCGTGCAACGCGCAACGCGCAACGCGCAACGTGCAACAGTCACACACATCACGCTGTGACATACACTTTCAGACAGTTGCTTATGTGCTCGTCCAGCCTCGGCGCCGCCGCAGCGATGAGAATTAAGTAGAGAGCTGCACTATTTGAGAAGTCATAGGATTGGCTGGTGAATACTGCACGGCTAGCTGACGTCTACTTGTACATAGATTCCGACTAACTTATTACCGTTGACCGACCACTTGCCTAATCGGGGCATGTGGCGGGTGCCTTGTGACGCGGTCCGTTCCAAACATACTTACAGCTGTTTTCTGAACATCGTTTAGATGTGTGATAGCTCCTATATAATCGGGTTTACATTCCAGTTTTTAGCTCAATTGGGATTGCGGGGACCGACTCTAGTCTCTGAGTCGCCAACAGTCGCCACCGCCGTGGCCGGTGGCCGCGATGTATCTACCGGGAGATTACGTAAGTATGCGGTGGCGGGCCGCGGTGCATCGAGTAAGCACTCGAACTACGCACACAGAGGCGACATTCGTTCTACTAGAGGATACACCTCTCAGTATAACCTCCAACAATCCCTTGTAGCCCAAGGTTGAAAAGATTCGTGTACCGTTGGCCCGGGCGCCGCTTAGGCCACAGGGGAGCCACACCGTGACTTGCGTGACGTTGCGCGTTGCGCGCAACGCGTTGCACGCAACGGCTCTCCCCGTGGATCGGACTTTCTGCAGCCACCGCACTAGGGTTAGCGGCGGGTGGCTGCCAACCCTAGCCTTTCTCTCCAGCGCCTGTAACCTACCTCTCAGTTATCCCTTTCATTTAAGGCATACGTACAAACCAGAGAATACAGACGGTGTGGATAGCGAGTCAGAGCGTCTGCAATCACAATAACATACCCAGTAATTATCTCAGTCTCTGCAAGGGGAGTGGTTCCTTTTTACGGTTACATTTACCCGATTTAGGCAAGTGTTATTTTGGCAGTGTTTCGGCAGGCTGACATTGGTCTGTAGGGTAATCACTACAGTAAGATAGAAGTCAAAATCATGTATAAGTGTGCGACCGGACTCGTAGTGCCACCGCAGGGCCTGCCTTGGATGTCATCCGGATGCATCCACGCATCCATGGGAAAACCATCCACGGATAAACCATCCATACCCACGCTCGTCTGGGTGTGACATCACGTAAGGCTGCGCTCGTAAGACCCGCCGTCACGCCCAGTGTCGGCCTTGCTTAAGTCGTCGTCGCCGCAACTCAACATTCTTCGAGCATAGGCCGTTTGGTACAGGAGTGGGCCCAGTCCGGCGTGATTAGATAGCGATGTATGTAGAGCTACTTCGAAGAAGGGTACAGAAATTTATATATAATCATATTCTACACTCTCCTGCTCCTTCAAGTTTGAATGGTGCAGAGTTCATGACAATGGCTCCTCCGACAGAGACCGTCGCAGAGGGCGCAGAGGGCGCTAAATGAGCAATATTATGTCTTCGGCGACATTGTAATCGAACCATGGGGCATCGGCCCATGCGCCGAGGCTCATCTTCGCACGAAACGTCTGTGAAGACATGGCGCGTTGGTTCCAAGCGACCTGGTTGCGGCCTTCGGAAAACGCGAGCTCTGCGTCGGCTGTGGTTGTTAGTGGAGCGCGCTCTTTTTCAGTACATCGACTCACAAGTCAGATGTTGAAACTCACCGGGCGCGGAAGCATATGCAAGGCCTATCTTCGCTAAGCCTGGCGTCACCGCGAGCTCCTTGTTCCAGTACTCCAGTACCGACGTGTCGCGCGGGCATACTAATGAATTGCCAGCGATTCACGCCCTGTGACAAAATGGCCGCGATCTATGAGTGACTGTGGACAACCTTGGTAACGGCACTTACAATGTTGTTGGCCACAGTCGGAACCGTTGAACTGCCTGATTGTCCTACCAGTGGTTGATTTTGCGTGGAAAGCGGCGGCTTGAACCTTCGATGTTAGTTATCAATAGCCCGCCTGCGAACCATCTCGATAGCATCAACCGGCCACTGATGTTGAACAAACCAATGAAGTTTGCAGTCAGGGCACATGACTACGTGCAGAGAATCAGTGTTTCGTTGAGTATGAATGTAATAAGTACACACCTATAGCCGTAGTATACGCATCGCACTCCACAAACAAGCGTGAGAAGTATCTGCGCGACACCAGATAGCCTGCGTGCGCGGCAACACGACAAACATTAGGTAATGTTGGTAGATTGACCATAGTGATGAGGTCGCGTTGAAGCTGGCCCTGCAAATGCGGGAAAGACGTCAATGATGAGTGGGATGTTGTTCTGCTGAAATCGTTGAACTAGCTCGTGGATATTCCGTGCACAACAGTCAGGGAGACGCGGCGTCAGAAGTCTACGAAATGCATGCACACTAACATGTCTCGCAAATTCGTTGAGAGAGACCACTCTTGCGGTGTCAGTTTCATTGCGTTGAGCTTAAGGTCCCGAATCTGAGTCGATCACTTCCCGGAGCGCGTGAGACGACATAAGGAGCCTGAGGCGGTAGTCCGAGTCCCAACGTGTCGCATTGCGTGGATGGATATGCTGGTCGTGGCTGAATAATGGCTGTGGCAGATGAAAAGCGTCGTGGACAGGTCCGCTGTCCCGAGTCTTGTTCGCGAGAGCTGCGTGTTCAGCACTCAGTATGTACTCAGTGTGCAACGGCGTGCGCTTTGCTCTGCCTCAATCAACCGTTACGAGCTCGTTACTACTTTGTGACTTAGCCGTGACTGACTGTGACCCGGGCACTTCGTGGGACGATCACGAGCAGGCGATGGATGTCTTGGGGTGGGAACACCATCCATTCTCACGGCGGATATCTGTGGATACACCCATCCAAGGCAGGCCCTGTGCCACCGAAAGGCCGTGATGTAAGTAAATTATTCTGAGACTCGAGACCACAATTATTGCCATGGTTAGAAGCCCGCGAGAAAAAGGCTAGGGTTAGCAGCCACCCGCCGCTAACCCTAGTGCGGTGGCTGCGTGGCAGCCGTGGCTGAGCCGCCCGGGTACGTCCCGTGACGTTGCCCTTGCCCGTACCCTTACCCGTTCAGTCTGAGCGGGCCTATTGTCTGATCAACGGTCATCTCATCTCACCGACTGCAGTCGGACCAGGGCTCGACGACGTCCAGCAGCTTCTTCCACCGCCCCCCGTGCCAGCCCTCCACCGCCCGCCACTCCGCGCTCTCTCGCCCCGCCACGATCCGCATCCAGACCAGCCACCCCGCCACGCTCAGATCCGCATGCGTCAGCTTCCCCTCGCCGATCAAGGTCGCCCGCGCGTCGCCCGCGTCCAGCCCGTCGCCCGCTGCGTCGAGCCACCCCGCGGCGACGCCGAACGCGCGCTCGATCGCGGCCCACTGCTGCGCGTGCGCGGGCGGGGGGCAGATCTCCTCCAGCGCGGCGCGGAACATGTGCTCGCGGGTGCGCCGGAAGTAGGGCTGGGAGGCGGGCTGGAGGAGGGGGTGCGTGCGCGGGAGGAAGAGGGGGAGGATCGGGGGCTGGACCGTCGTCGCGAAGGCGTGTTGGAAGGCGGCCTGGCAGGGTGCGGGCGCGCGTGCGTGTCAGCTGTATGCGTGCAGGATGAGCGGTGGACGAGCGAGTGCGCACCTGGAATGGGCGCAAGGGTTTTGGGGACAGCGCGGGGGTGTCGGGGTACGTGTCGTCGAGGTACGCGGCGATGCGGGCGCTCTCGGCGACGAAGCGCTGCGTGCGCGGGTCGAATATCGCGGGGAGCGTGTAGGGCGTGGGCGTGCCCGGCTCGGTCGGCGCGTGGCCGAAGGACTGGAGGAGCGCCGCGATGTCGGGGTACTCGACCCATACCGTGTGGTACGGGAGCCGCTTGAGGTTCAGCGCGTACCTGGGGGTCATGCACTGTACTGTGAGCGGCGTTGTGGGGGAGACGGGGAGGCGCTGACCGGGTCTTCCAGGTGTTGGGCGACCAGGCGGTGCTGGGCGTGCTGCTGGGGATGTCGTAGAAGAGGATGACGTCCGTGTCTGGGAGCGTAGCCATATGACTTGTTGATGTGGACGAGGATGTCGGGGTGGGTTGTATGAGTGAGGTTGCTGGATCAGGAGTCCTCTGTGTAGGTCCTTGCGTGGATCTCACCTTGCGAAGCGCTAGACGATGGCGGACGTTGAGCGATGATCAGCTCGCAGCGCACCCACACTGCGTTCTTGTATTGGATCCACTCCAGCTCCCTCGGCCCCAGCTCGGCCTCCCGGTCGCCCCTAGTCCTAGTCCCTGTCCGTCATCTGACCTTCCCTGGGAATACGCCAGGGAGCGTGGAGGCCTTCCGCCGGCTCGCCGAGGATTTCGTGAGTCTCCGATGGATGGTACCCGGCGGCCCGACCAGCAGTGTGCGTGCGTACTCAGACTGTATGCGCGGTGCGTGCGTGCGACGGTAGAGTCGCGCTAGGGTGCTGGCTGGGTGTTACAATCGATGGGAAAGAACGGCTGAGCGAGAGCGCGGTCATACAGATCGCTGGATGAAGTTGACTGACGGCCGCGTGCATGCTATAAGTATCCGTGCTGTGTTGGGTTCCGAGGAGGGATCTGCTCGATGGCTGTGAGTGTAAGTATTGACTTGCGATGGGTGTCCGCGGACAAAGAGAGGGGCGGCCTCCGCATAGCTCGTGGATGGCCGTCCTCGCCGTCAGTGTGGTTTATGCACGAGAGGAGCAACATTACAGGTCGTGGGGTTAGGAGTCACAATTGAAGACCACGCTGAGGAAGGGGTTTGGACAAATGTACTATACCCGATCTCCTTCGATGCTCACTGCTCAGTACGGGCTCCGCGGAGACCTTCCGGAGGTGTAAAGCGATAGTCAGCTCATTGCTCGAGGCGTCACTGCAGATAATCGGGGATGCGTAGCGTTTGAGTGGGGAATTGGAGGTCTCTGTAACCCAGCTGTGTTAGGTCATGTTGCTGACGAACGGAGGACACAAGTCGTTGTCGTTGAATCCGGGCAATCGCAAGTGACTGTAACCCACCGACGATGCGAGAATGAGCTCAGTGGTTCAAGGTGTGATAAGATGACGGTCACCGTGGTCGTTGAAACGGCTCCCCTGAACCGTCATGGAGGCGATGTCTGCAAACAACTCTGCAAGATGCATATGCTACCAATTCCGACTCATCTGATCGACAAACATGTCCTCTGCAGCCTGACAGGCCATCTGCATCTGCTCGGAGATGAACACAATCAATGCGCATCTCATGAATTGAGGGAGGATCGCGTTGTCGAGAGCTAACTTGGAGCGAACATATGTCAGTAATTGCCCTTCCTACAGAGTATAGCCGCTCACCTGGACGTTCAAGGCTTCGTGATTCACGGTACTACGGACCTAATCTGGTCTTCTCAGTCGGTTTCGCAGCCCGGAGTCAACTAAGTAATACTGATGGAAGATTCTGGGGTATTGAGAAGGCGTATCTAACCTTGTCATCCCCCTGTCAACATTGACGGTTGCACACAGAACCTGATCGTCGCATTATTGTACAGGGACTGGCTGTATTGCGATCATGAGGAGATGGAGGCGACGGCGATACACAACAGAGCCGCCAGCTCAAGTTACAGGTGAATCATGACAGGGGTGGTGCATCGCTTGAAGAGTGTGTAGGATGTGCACGGATAGTTTCGAGGAGAATGGAGGAGGTGGTGGCGCGACATATCATTACTTACTATAATTTCTGCCCACAGCATTGTGTCTGAGTGTATTCGGGTTAGTGACGGGATAGGCTTGTGCGTGGAAAAGGGTCGGTGACGGCCGGTTGGACCGAGCCGGGCGCCCCCAGCTCCTCGACCTCCACCGCCGTCATGTCCTCCTCCATCCCCGACCCGTCCTCCCTCCCCCGCTCCCCCGCAAAGCAAGACTCAACCCCCGCAGACTTCGCAATGTCCAGCAGCCTGTCACCCACCGACCTGCGACACATCACATCCAGCTCAAATCTCGCCAGCCCGCGCGAGCGCAAGGTCTCGAACCGGAATTCGCAACATCTCCGCACACACCGCGTCGGCTCCCGCTCGCCTGCGTCCATTCCCTCGTCGCCAACCTCCGTGTATGTACTCCAGTTCGATGCTACTGGCGACGCTGACAATCGTCCAGACACTCCTCATCCTCCGCCATCTTTGAGCGCGACATCGAGCCAATCACACCCGCCGCCCTCTCGCCCACCGCCGACCCGCACCGCGTCTCGCGCGGCAGGTACACCGAGCAGCTCGAGCAGTCTGTGCCGTCGGTCCTCGACAGCGCTGCGGCCATCCTCGCTGCGCCCGATTCCCAGTACGACGACTTTGATGCCGTCTCCATCATCACCCCCGCCCCGCCCGACAGCGGCTACCGCAGTGGGCTCGCCAGTCCAAGCAGCCGCCTGAGCAGCCGTAGTCCGAGCCCGACGGGCATCAGTCCTGGCAGGCGCACCAGCTTGCTGTTCAGCACGAGCCCGACGTACACCACCAGTCCGCTTCAGCAGGGCAGCCTGTCGTCGCGCCCGATTATCCAGACGCAGGCGCAGAGCTCCGCCCCGATCGCGCCTCTGCCAACCGTGCCCGCAACCCCGACGTCTGCATACTACTCTGCCGCCGCGTCTGTCATGCCCTCAGAGGCAAATTCAGAGGCATCGTCGCCGACGACCGCGACGCACCACGCGCACCCTCTGCACTCGCTTCCTACCTCTCCTGCACCGACCTCACCCGCCGCACCCCAGCCAACGACCATCACCATCCCTGCCCCGCTCGTCTCGCACCCGCCGTCGCCCAAGGCGGCAGCCAAGCGCCTGTCTTTCCTCTCCTACATGGATCTCCTCTCCTCTACACCCTCCGCCACTGTCCCGCTGTCCTCCGTCCTCACGAACGAGCCTCCGCACCTGCCCAGCGTCATCGGCCTCCCGCAGGCGCTGTACGCCGCGAGCTCCAGTGCGGGCAGCGTGCACGCTGCTAGCGTCATGGAGCGAGACACCGCGAGCCAGATCGTGGACGACGTCGGCGGGGAGTGGGAGCGCGAGGGGCTGGGGAGGGGGCTCGAGGAGCGGCTCGAGGCGCTGAACGCGAGTACGCCGCCGGTCATGCCCGTGGTATCGGGGCGGGCGTGATGCCTTGGCTGGACGCTTACGACTTGCGACGCCGGTGATGTTCATGCTTTCGATCTTGGTCTTGGTGTATAACGCAACGCGGTCTGACGCGCGGACAGACGCTCCTTTCACGCCCTACTGTATGCCCCCATCCTAATCACCCTATGCGCCCCTGGGCCCCTTGTCCGGTCTGTCCTCTCTTGGCTCGCTCGTCCCGTCTCTCGTCTCGCTTCGGTTCGGTGTACTATGTGTGCGAAGGGTTGACAGTTCGTGTCTTGCACCCCTCCCGTCCCCCATCCCTTCGTTTTCTCCCACTAATTCGCGCCCGCGGGCGTACGACTGACGACTCTCACTCGGTGTGCGTCTTACCTTCTCGGCCCGGAACCCAGAACTGATGTTCAGAATCAGATTACTACTACTGGTATACCCTCCCATAGCCATATGCGTGTAATCCTCCATAGCCCATCGACACTAGTGCAAATCATATCAAAGTCATCTGCTTGGGGATCGGCGAATTAAGAGCGGTCGGTCTGGTAAACGCGTTTCCCTCTCATCTCTGTCCTTCCGCGGTACCTCCGCACGGCCGGCCTACGCGGTGAACTCACATGGCTAAGCCGCCTATCTCGAATCGACCTCGCCATCCCTTCTCCGCGCGGTCCTGAGTTTCGGTACCGACGAGCAGCGAGGGAGCTGCGCGAGGTCAAGGGTGAAGTCGAGAGCAGTATATCTGAGCAAAGTCGAGAGATGGAGTCGAGTGAGTGAGTACCAGACGGGTACCTGGCTGCGAAGTAACTTCCATGGTACGCGCCGCCCTTCCTCGCCGCTTGCATCTTCCCTTTGACAACGGACTTTTACAGCATCTAACACCATGCATGTCCCAGCGGAAGTCGTTGCGTTCCATCCCGTATGCCGCGCCTTCAGAACATCGCGCGATCTCAAGGCTCCTCCTCCTCCTCCAATCTGATAAAGCGCACACTGATTGGACTGGCATGGACTGGCAAGTAATATGCGGTCTGGCGACTGCTGGCTTGCTATGCGCACAAAACGCAGCAGCTGCAGGGTCGATTTCAGCTGACCTGGATGCGCGCCGTCACGGTCGGGATGCCGTTCATCGGATTCGTCTCGAGTTTGATTGGTACGCAGTGCTTCTGCACTCGATCTCCTGCTCATATGAGAGGCTGTGTAGGATGTCCGATACAAGACGGAGTGTACAATGAGGTTCCAGCCCCACCTCGACACGTCTCTTGCGCTGCAGCTTCTTAGAGAGCCCAGCAAGTGAGACACGACCTCAAGCTCCCTGCCGCGTCATTTGCATGCGAGTGCATGATAGACGAGTGCACAAGATGCTTCGCGTACCTGGATTCCTCAGCAGCACCGCGGTCGTTGGCGCAGATGCAGGGAGGTTGCTTATCCGCCGTACAATGCCGCCGTGCAAGGAGAGAGGCCCCGTCGTTCTGAAGGTGATAGCGCAGGCCGCGGCGGCGGTTAGTAGCCTCGATCATCTGACAGCGCTCGATCAATCGTGATCTCATTCAATCGCCCGGGATGTGGGTGCGGAGCCGAATCACTTTCGAGCTGTAAACAGGATGTACTTAATAACGGTGCGGACAGCATCAACTCGACATACTTACTTGGGTCGTCGACGTCAGCTGTGCTTCTTCAGAGAGCCTCTAACTTTGATCCCATGAGCACCTTCACGATAAACACCCTGGCTCCCTCTGAGAAAGTCGAAACTGGCGGGAAGGCAGCCGTCCGACGATTCGCCGTCTTGCCCAAGCAGTTGCGTGGGTGACGAAATGATAGCTGCGATACCGTGCAGCAGACGCGGAGAGTGAGAGTCTGCCTGGGGCGCCCGGTGAGCGTTATGGTACCATGGACAAGTACTTACTCAAATAATTTATAGTGAACAGTCCTGCCTAGCCACGAGGTTCGAAGAAGGCGTCAGGAAGCGTGCTCTTGCGCATAATCCGACGGTGAGATCGACTAACCGATCTTGCTAAGCGCGGGCTTGCGGCATCAAGGCGGCTCCTGCAACCTGCTTCTCTCAGTCTTCCTCCACATGCATTCCCGCAACGGCACACGAGCCTCTCCAACGCGAGCTCTGCCCGGAGGAGCACCCGCAGGGGACACAAGATAGGGCCCACAATCAACCAGATGCCTCAGCTCCATGCCGTGAGTCCGGAAACCCTGGAGCTTCCCGCAATCCTTACGCTAATCCTGTAGAGCCAGATACTCAGCACGGCCTGGGCTCTTCGGACACGGTCGTTGATATGCTAACTTGGGCACTGCACTGGCGCGCGAACGTTGTGCTCTCTTATCGCTCAGGACCCTTCTGCCGCTCTATAAAGGCGGTCATGCCAGCTTCTCCCTAGCGCTCGCCTCCGTCGCTCCAACATGGCCTTCAACGGGCTCGCGAACGTCGACGGCCTCGTCGACGCGGAGAAGGTCATCCCGCCGGCCACCGTCATGGAGCACATCCGCAAGGAAGACTCGTCCTTCGACGAGAAGAAGCGCTTCAACGAGGACGTCGTCGACGTCCCCAGCGTCGACTACGAGGATGACAACGACATGGTCCTCGACTTTGGCACCGACGACCCTTTCCCGATGGACCCCGATGCCCCCGTCGAGCAGCAGTTCACGTTCCGCGCCGTCTTCGTTGGGTGTGCCCTGGGTGCAGTCATCTCTGCGAGCAAGTGCGTGTCCACCTCTCGTATTGCGTACTGGTCTCTGACTGCTCGCGTGCAGCGTGTATCTCGGTCTCAAGACCGGCTGGACGTTCGGCGCGTCCATGTTCGGGTCCATCTTTGGCTTCGCAATCCTCAAGCCGCTTTCCAAGGCGCTGCCAGACCGCTTCGGTGGAGGATACTTCGGACCCAAGGAGAACGTCTGCTGCCAGAGCGCCGCGACGGTCCGTCCCTCGTCTTCCTATTCCATGTACAATCCTTGACGACGCACTACGCAGGCTGCGGGCTCACTCGGTCTCTTGTTCACCTCCGGTTTCCCCGCCGCGTACCAGCTCGGCCTCCTCGGTGCAGACCCTTCCGCGGATTTCGGGTGCGTGAACCAAACGTTCCACATGATATAGCCAGGCTCACGACGCGGGTCCGTAAGCCGTCTCATCACGTTCACGATCTGCTGCGCCTACGTCGGCATCTTCTTCACCATGCCTCTCCGGCGTCTGTACATCCTCAAGCTCAAACTGACTTTCCCGAGCTCCGTCGCGACCGCATACACGATCCGCTCGCTGCACGTCGGGCGCAACGCCGCAGCGGTTGCGCGCAAGAAGACGTGGGCCCTCGTCATCTCCTTCCTCATCTCCATTTGCTGGAGGGTGACGAGCGAGTATGCGCCCGGCATTATGTGGGACTGGCACTGGAGCTGGTGGTTCTACCGCGCCGGCTGGGAATGGATCATCTGCGCGGAGTCTTGGGTATGTTTCATCGCTTTATCTTCTAGCTAACACTGACATCCGCGATGCAGGGCTGGGTCTGGGAGTGGACCCCTGCCTTCATCGGGTGCGGGCTGCTGGTCCCCATGAACAGCTCAGGTTCCTTCGTGGGCGGCGCGGTCCTCGCATGGGCGATCATCGGTCCTGCACTCGTGGCGACGAACCGCGCGTTCGGCGAGCCCATGTCGCCCCTCTACCCGGGCTACCTCGACTACTCCAACATGGACCTCCCCGACCCCGTCCACCGTCCCTCGCCTGAGTACTGGATGATCTGGCCGGGATGCATGCTCCTGCTCACCTCCAGCGTCGCCGAGATCGCCGCGAACTACAAGACGATCGTCACCGCGTTCAGCGTGCTCCTCGAGCCCGCGGTCGCGAAGGCGCGCCGGGTCGCAAACCTCCGCGAGAAGAACGTGCACTTTGAGAAGGAGGACGGCTTCTACGACCCCGTCCCGCCGGAGGAGCAGACGCCGTGGTGGATGTGGATGGGCGGCCTCGTCCTCAGCTCGATCCTCACGATGCTCGTCATGAAGTACCAGTTCGACCAGAACCCGGGCATCACCCTCCTCTCGATCATCTTTGCGTTCGTCTTCTCGCTCGTCGGCGCAGAGTGCGTGGGGCGCGTGTCCGTGAACCCTGTTACCACTCTCGGAAACTTCTCGCAGTTGGTGCGTGTATCCTTCGTCGAGATTGGCGCAATGATTGACGTGAAGCTTCTGTGCAGATCTTCGGCGGCATCTCGAAGGGCTCCGGGCTCCCCCCGCAGCGGAACGAGCTCAACAACGGGCTCACGGGCATGATCACGCTCGCCGCAGCCGAGCAATGCTCCGACATGCTCGGCGACCTCAAAGCGACGCACCTCCTCGGCGCGTCCCCGCGCGTGCAGCTCTACGCGCAGTGCTTCGGCGCGCTTGTCTCCATCTTCCTCAGCACTGCGATGTACGTCGTGTTCAGCAAGGCGTACCCGTGCATCAACACGCTCTCCTCGTCCGCGTGCGAGTTCGCCGTGCCCGACGTGAAGAGCTGGCGCGCGGTCTCGATCGCCGTGTCCGGTTCGTCGTTACCCATCCCGACGTCCTCCGGCATCGTCGCGCTTTGCTTCATGGGGATCGTCCTCCTGAGCACGTTCGTCAAGTACCGGTACGTCCCCGTGGACAAGCAGCACTGGGTCCCGAACTGGAACGCGGTGGGGATCGCGTTTGTGCTCGGGCCGACGAACACGTACCCCGTCGCGATGATGTTCGGGAGCGTGGTCGCGTTCGTGTGGCGGCGCCGCTGGCCGAACGCGTGGTTCCTCCTGGGCTACGCTATTGCGGCGGGCATGATCGCGGGCGAGGGCCTCGGCGGGATCGTGAATGCGGTGTTGCAGATCGGGAAGGTGAGCGGGAACTTGTACGGCACCGCCGTGGGGTGTCCCATGAATGCGTATTGTGGATGAGGCGCGTCGATGCCTTCTATAGAACTTCTTGTGGATCCGATTGACGAGTCATTACGTAGTATACGATGTACAGTGTATCATTATAGACGGATTACCTGCTTGAGCATGGCGAATTGTACTTCATGTTCACGGTATGCATGACGCTTGGAATTGTGATTGAACGAGTTGAATCCCAGCTTATACACATTCGCGCGCGAGGACTGCCTATTGCGTCGACGCTTCTCCGTCCTTATGCAACACAATGTCACGCAGCTACATAGGTGTGATCCACAGGTCCTTCATGTTCGCAGCACCGACACATGACACAGCAGTCGTAAGACTCAGAGGATAGCTCTTACCATGCAGACTTTTATTCGAGAGATACGGAGATTGATAGTTCATGATCTCAACTCTGCGCTACTCCAGTGGTAACGGAGATCAACCCATGGGCGTAATGCCACAAAGTCGCCGACTCCTTGCGGCTGGCATAATTGCTTATAATTCGATCGATCGCGACAACGTTATGTCTGCTGAACATTTTTGGAACGGTACCAGATGGTACGTCTAGTACGAGGTTGAACAGCACGGCAATCCAGAAAGCCGACCCACTCGGAGACGCTTAGACGGTACAGCCCTTCTACATATCGACGCTCATCGAGCATAGATCATTTCTCTGGGCACCATCGAGCTCAGGTCAACTGAGTTCCCCGTCGCTTGACTGTCAGTTGCCTTGCAGGGACCAACAAGGATGCACCGACGAGCATCACGATCTACGCGGATCGTCAATCAATCTGTCAAACAACGAGAACACGACGACTTACCCCACTGAACAGGATCGCTTGATACCAGTCTGTGTTGTCGGATCCGAGGAGCGCGCCATCAATGGGCGTTCCCACCAGAATCGGGAACGAAGTTGCAAGGAACAGCATTCCGATGCGAAGTCTAGAATTGGTTGCGCAGATATAGCAGGTGTCGATCATTGGTGAGTGCCGACGGTTCAGATACTGTGTAGGAGAAAGCTTACCCTGTCTCGTCTTCAGTCTGTGCGAGAATTCCCATAGCAGGCGGAATGAGTGCGTTGGCTACATTCACCCGAGCGAAGGTTGTGAGGAACATGTCGAGACTCGCATGCATTGACTAAAAGACGTACCTGATCCAGTGGCGAAACCGTACAAGAAGCTGAAAATGATGACGGCCGGTACGTTCGTGACGCCGAACATGGCAAACAAGAGGATTCCGCATGAGTAGAAGATCGGGATGAGCAGGTTATATGGCCCGATGTAGTCAGCGATGAAGTTGGGAATAACTCGGCCACAGACGGATCCCGCGTTGAGGATAGATATCTGTGTTATGAAGATAAACAAGCGAGTAATCATCACGAAGAGTACACAACGTACGGTGTAGAAAGCAAGATTCACAGACATCCCATGAAGGCGTACCCAGAGCTGGAGGTAGAAGTCTTGTACAGTGTCAGCAAATGGTCCCGTATGATATCACGGCATGTATACGTACAAGGGAAGTACATCCCGAAGAAGAATATGACCGTACTTCATGATTGTCAGGAAGCTGAGAAGCGTCCGGGAATGGAATAGACATACGCGATGACGGTAAGCATGTATGGCGGATCGACCATGACACTCTTCATAGACACTTGCGGTCCAGACTTGTCCTTCGTACCGGGGAGACGTGTCCTCATGATACAATTGGCGATCGTCAAAAGGATGAGCATGAGGAAGGCAACCGCGCGCGTTCCCCATGCGAACCCGGCCGGGCCACTGAAAAGCCTGTTGAGCATGATTGGCATAACGACACCACCACACGACGAGCCTGGTAGGCAGATGGGTCATGCGTGTTGAGATTGCGAATGTCAGTCAAGTGGTGAGACGGACCTGCTTGGACAAGGCCCAGGGCGAGAGCGCGATGTCTTCGCCAATAGTGCGATTGCAGGCAGAGCGCGGGCGTCGTGGTCAAGCCGCAACCGATACCCATGAGGAGACCCTGCGTGATAACGAGCCCGTAGTACTTGCTCGGATCGCAAATCGACAGCATGAACACGCTGCAGCTCACTTGTCAGTATATCTACCGATGTGTGTAGTGCGAATGCTTACGATAGGAGGATGAGGAATGAACCGACAAGGAACTCGTGTCGGAAGTATCCCTGATCGAACCATCTTCCCGACCAAAGACCCATTCCAAAGAGTAGAAAAAGCTGCAGGACGACGAGTCAATTACATGATGCTCGAACATACGAAGAAGATGCGCACTTGCAAGGAGCCAATCCAGCTGATGTCGGATGAGGTTCCCGCACCCGCTTGAACGAAGTAATCTTGAAAGACACCGAACGAAGTGGAAAAGCCGAAGGTACAGAACGTAGTGCACCATCTGTGAGCAAAACAAGTGAACATTGAATATGAGCGCAATTGACTTGCTGAGCCTACCCTCCTAGGACGGCCATCCATGCCCACAGACCGCCATCGGGGACGGGCCCTAGCTCGTCAGAGGAGAACGTCGACTCGACCACGTCAACAGCTCCCTTTTCATCGACTTCTGGTGTCGCTGGGGTCTCAATGACAGACTCCTCTTGCTTGACCGACATCCTATATTTTGCTGTGTACGGTCACCTTCAGTGATAAGCTACGGGTGAGCTGCCCAAGGCGGAATATGCCTATGATGGACTTGCTTGATTGCGGTCCGGATGTGAGACAAGACCCAGGTCTGGTATATGACCGCGCCCGGAGACAGTACACTACGGTGTCGACGCGTCACCTCGAGCTCCTTCGCTTCTGAGAGATTGAAGCTCACTGGCTTTCCAGTCTATCCCGTACCGACGGGGACCCGTTTCTCTTCCTCCCGGAGGTCATCTGGCGTGGAGTTGAAGGTCCACCAGTCATCTGACCATGTATTGCATTCAACGTCCTGGTGAGAACGGGGGCTAAGTATGAGCGTACACCGCGTTCTATGGGGCCGCTGTGTTCAGCAGATGCGCTTCGCAAGCGCAGTCGGTCCGCGATTACGCACCGGGTGACGCTTCTCCGTTAGCCTGAGGGTGTGGACTCGACGAGCTGACTGCGCTTCCTTTGCCTAAGGGAGTTTTGAGAAGCGCAAGGGGAGTTTGTGAAGGTTGTACCGAGGAGTTCGTACTACAGCGCGGCCTTCTATCTTGTAGAACCGACGTTGGATAGACATGCCCCTGGGCGGTGTGCCAGTATGACCATTCTTTCGCAGACTGCCAACGGCGGGTGCAGCGTGGTTCGAGACCATCACGTACTGCACTGGCACTATCTCTACGACTCGTTTACGGAAACAGTACCGAGTAGTCATACCAAAAGCTGGTTGCAAGCTGGGAAGACTCTGTTCGAATAGCCTTCATGTTCCAGTCAGAAACGTGCATCTGTGAGTGATTGACTCGGAGTGACATATGTAATGACGCTAGCAAGGTGTAGTGAGTATTCTCGACAAGAGAGCAATGGACGTAGACGTACATAGACGGGCAGTCGAGGACATCCCAACGAACAGATCGAATCTCCAACAGCTCAAGATCACAACGTTTCAACGACGCTGGCGGGTGGTCACTGGTATCCCACAGAGTACAACTGAAAAGTTCACCGGGACAGACTTCATGATAGAGCAGAAATGAACACACTGTGGAGACTATGCAAGTTTTCAAGACGCCCTCCCGTGACGCAGTAGTCTGAACGAGTGCCCGAGGGTCAGGTTCACTGGCAAATAGAACTCAAGGGCAGTAGCGACGACGAATCGCAAGTCAGAGGAACGCTGACATAATGGGCGCTTACGGCGCTACCATCTTCGCCGCTGGACCCAGTGTGGGTATGTAACGCATACTCGACGATCGTTCCTGTATGTACTTTACACCTAGTCACGTAATCCAATGAAGGAAAGGTTAGAAACGTTTCATAGAAAAACATAGTTGTCGCAGTGCTGCTCATTCTATTAGGCGTCGACAGCGAGCGTGCTCGAGCTCATTCCTGTCCAGACTCCGGGCGTGGGGCCCGGTACAATCTATCTACAGTAAGTACATCCTAATTAATAGTCTCATTATTTCAATCTGATACCCGCTTTTGTAGCATCCACCCTCGGGCGCGTTGCCCTCCTCGTGCGGGGCATCTGTCTCGGGGGCGTGATTCGCGGTCTCTCCAACCCTCCATTCCCATTGAGCGTGTCGATCGCCTCGCGAGCCTCAACGCCACAGCGTTTTTCGACCAGCAAGTCGAGTAGCTCCGGCATGTCTAATTTCGGAGTTCTCAAGTACGCCAGGATTTCCGCGCGAAACCTCGAGTGGCTCGAGATGTACCGCAGGTCCGCCATCATCGCAAGCACCTTCTTGACCGACTCCGGCGGCTCGAATACTGCAGACGCGTTCCGAAGCGCTTCAACAATCTGCTCAGCGGCATCCCTAGCTGAGTATTTGTCGAAGATAAACTCGTCCGCAGGCGGTACGATCGGCGTCTCCACGCCGCAATTGAGGATGGTGAACCGGCAGGCAGCACCGTACGCAACACGGTGCACTGCAATCTGGTCTTGGGAGGCATTGTCGACGTTGCACATGAACTGCAGAATCTCGAGCGTCGTGCGAGTAATCTGCTCCCGGTCAATTTTCAGGGTACCCAGGTCGGCAGGACAGTAGTAGCCAAGGAATCCAGAAATGCGAACGACGCGCTGGAGAAGACGCAGTGAGTCGTGCAGGGAGAACGAGCCATGCTGCCAGCTCGCGGTGGGACTCTGCTCGGTGGGAAAGGTCCAAGATTGTTCGAGCTCGACTCGAAGGTCTTGCAGGAAGGTAGGGTACCGCGCGATGAGTGCCGTGAGGAGTTGAGTGCGGTCGGCATTCTCGCGATCATCGAGGGCGTCCGAGTCAGATGTAGGAGCGGACGCCGGGAGGCGGGCGGAAGAGGTCGAATAGAGAAGCTCTTCAAAGACAGCGAGCACCGCATGGAGCATGACGGCGTCCTGCTTTGCGGGAGCCAGGACATTCCGCTTGAGCGGGTCCAGCAGCTTGTCAGTGGAGCGCACCTGGGTGATCAACAAATGGAAGTCGTTGAACTTCGGGATGAGCCTGCGCTCGGGGATGGAGAGCACGCAAAGGGCCCAGCAGATCTGCCTCACTAACGCGAAGTCGAGCCCGGGGTTGTTTAAGACGAGCGCGGCAAGTGCGTCGAGGGCGCAATGTTTGTGCTCGATGCGGTCGGAGACGACGTCCGTCGGCTTCGTCCACTTCTGTGGGTCAATGACACGCGTGGCGACGTAGATCGCAGTGTTGACGAGCGACATGTTGTCCTCACTGCGATTGAGCTCTGAGTCGTTGTCCTTGCTCTTGAGCTCTGCGTCGTTCAGCTTCTGGAATGCCGACAGACGGCCATAGAACTCCTGCACGGAGGCTTTGACGGGCCCCGCAGACCAATCAAGAGGGAATGCGACGAGCTGCAGCCTGAGTCTGTGTGCAAACAGGATGATGTCATCGGGGTTTTTGCCCTCGCCACTTTCGTCGAGGTTAGAGAGCTTGAGCGTCCGCAGCGCCAGGTCTGCGTTGAGCGACATCGTCTCCTGCGGCCGCTTGTACGTCCGTGGCGGGCCCCACAGTGAAAGGGTCGCCCGCGAGTCGTCCTCAGGCTCGATGACCTCCGTCAGGAGCCGAGCCAGTGCACGCTCGACGAGCGCAAACTCCTTTTGTACGGGCTTTGTGAGCTCAGCGTAGTCGAACTCCTCGAGCCAGCGGAGCCAGAGGGTGAGGAAGCGCACGGTGCCGGCATCGATGAAGAGGTCGCGGTTCGCGATGAGGTGCGGGAAGCGCACGATCGCGTGCGCGAGCAGTTCCGCGTCGTGGTCGTCCAGGCCCGCCTGGAAGGAGGCGACCATCCGCGAGAGGACGCGCGAGTCCATGAGATCCGTGTTTTCGAAGATGTAGTTGACCTCGCGCGACTGCGAGTCGACGAGTGGCGCGGCGTACGCGCGCATGATGTACTCCGTGCGCAAGATCGGCCCCCGCGCGGGGTACGCGAGCGCGGGCGGAATATCGACGCCGCACCAAGAGAACACGCGAAGGATGGTGCGGTAGAACTTGACTAATGGGTATGTGATCTTCCATGAGGTATAAATCGACCGTCGGAGGAACTCCCACGTCCACGTCGTAGGATCGACTGATGTTCTGTACGGACACGTCGACGACAGGTGCGAGAGCACGTAGGTGCCGATGTAAATGGCAACAGTCAGTCCGATGAGGACCGTTGCCACGATCGCGACGGTGGAGTTGGTTGCCCAGAGGAAGTCGATCAGGCCGGCGAAGAACAGCAGGAGCGACATGTGCAGCAGGAGGGGGAGGCACTCCAGCGCGGAACCTAGGCTCCACGCGCGCGTGTTGTCGTAGCGATACTGAAACTGCCGGCCACGGCCTTCAGCCGAGGGGTGGAGGTCGCCGTCAAGGCTCGCCAGCCATTGTCTGGCGAGGATGGTGAGAAAGGCGACGGAGACACTGACTACGAGGCTTGCAAACCAGAAGGTGTTGACGCGAATGGCGTAGGCCTCTGGGACAAATGTGGTGCTGCTGTCCGATACGAGACTTGCTGAGGCCTGGACCGACTGGAGGGTTTGATTTGCGTTCAGGGAGGCGACGACTTGCTGAAGGAGGTTGACCGTGGTAAGACCGGGGTCTGGGCGAAGACTTGGATATGACAGTACTACGAATGCGGTTATGACGGCCGAGAAAAGGGTTGCCTGTCCGGTCAAAGTCAATTCATAACAACGAGTGAGCTAGGTAGGCGTACGCACAAAGAGGAGTAGGGATTTCATTTCCTTGTTCCACTTTTCGATGAAGTCCTCACGCCATTTTGAGGCTTGTTCATTGTACATCTGCCAGACATCGTGACGTATATCGGACTGGAGGATGGAATCAGACTCTCTTGAGGAAAATCTAGGGCGAACCGAAGGGCACTCACGTTAGAAGGTAGGTCATCATCGTCTGGCATCTATGAAACAAAATGCAGATACCGTCAGAAGGAACTGATGTAAGAAGTGAGTGTCATACTTTTGAGAACTGGCGTTCGACGTGAGGCCTATGAACACCAGGAAACTGGGAAGGCAGCGGCGACCATGGGGATCGTCGTGCGGGAAGGCCCTGTGAGATGTTTAATCATAAAGGTCCAGAGGTAGCTTGTGTCAGCGCACTCGCCACGCACCTCCGCGAGAGTATCAGGCGAGCGACGGGGTGCGTAAAAACCTGACATGGCGTTGTCTACTGAAAGCAGGCCTCAGCAACCCTGTTCATCGACATACATCATCCCCGGACACAGACTTACCAGGCAGCAGGGATACCAAATCTTCTCAAAGTACGTACGGGACCGCTGCAGCGTCGCGCCATTGTTAAATATTCCTCAAGTAAACATCAGCGCGTGGGCCACAGGCTTGACAACCACTGACATACCGACAGCCACAACCGCTACAGTCGTGCGAGTGTGGGCCGGGCGTCATCAGCCTCCCATTCAGAAATTAGGTTCCTTGATAATGATGCACGGAAGACTGTCAGCTTTCGGACCTCGAAGCCTGGAACGGTAACGTCGTATGAATACGGACACACCTTAGGCTCCGTCCCTCCATGGAGTACTAATGCTGTATGTGACGGTGGAACATCTATGATGTCGCACTGTGTCGGTAATGTTCGACCACGTCCTACGTGCATTGAAATACTGCCTGCTGTGCTTCACATATCCGATTATTTCAGCGTGCGGACTACGCAGGAATTATGCCACCCGTGAGCCGGCAGTGAGAAGTCTGCACATACGGGCCGGCGAGACAGTTACCATGGTCTGGGACAATCCGCGGGGATAGTCACAATTCAAGGGCACACGGACAAGACCCTGAGGCTCTGAACCCAGCCATAATATAGCCATACCACAGAGCTGATGTTGTATCTCCGAACGCAATCGCGAGTATCCAGTACAAGAAGACCTCCGCGGATACTGGGCTGCGCATGCACCGGTCATCGAATGCAGTGGTTTCCCGAGTGCCTGTTGTAACACACAGAGACAGGAACCACTTGTGCAAAGGAAAGCTGTTGAGAAGGCTGTACGTGTATGTGTTCTGGTAAGCAGTATGAAGAGTCCGAGTCCGAGTCGCCGGATTGCGATGCACGAAGTATAGATCCTGTGAAACATTGACAGCCCACAGTACAGTGTCCCCAGTGTTTGAGTCCATGTAGCCAGCCGCAGTCATGTCCAGGGAATGAGAGTATTGCGAGAGTTGGAACTCATGAGCTAGAGCCTGAGGCTGAAGCTTGCGCCGTACATTGACAACATCGGGAGACGCGGGCGCTCGTAAGATCGCCTTTCGCGCCACATAAGTGGGCGCAGCTATAATGGGGGAATATAATGGAATATAATGGCTTTGTAAGAAATGCTATAGAGCTACACTAGGTCAGATGATCTGTGTGTGATTCTGAACAGACGTATAAAGGGCCGTTAAGCACAGAGTCGGAATGCAGGGCTCGTACATCGGAGCGGAGAGTTACGAGGATTCTTCTGTGGCTGCGGATGTGTGCTTTCCGAGTTCTCGATGTGCTGTAGCCATTGGCTGAGAAATCGTACGGTGCCCGCCGCAATGAAGATGTCCCTATACCGGACAAGAAACGGATATCGGCAGATTTGATCGACCAGCATTTGGGCGTCGTCGGTTGTGATATTGGGGAGGAATGAGTGCACCATCCGCGCCAGTGATCGTGCATCCATTAGTTCTGGGTGCTCTAGGATATAGTTCGCTTCCCGTGAAGCGATGTCGGTGTCAAGCCCCTTGTCGGCGCGTGACATGCGCTCGTTGTGGAGAGCCGCTATGTACTCAGCGAAAGGGACTTTGACTCCGTAAGCACCCGAAACCCGTTGCAGGGTACGATATAGCCACAGCATGGGGTATGCGATCTTCCATGATGTATAGGGCAGTCGTCGAATAAACTCCCAGGTGAAGGTTGTCGGGTCCACCGTTGTACGGTACGGGCACGTCGCCGAGAGATGGGACAGGATATACGTGCCGATGTAGATCGCGACGGTCATACCGACAAATGCCGTTGCCACAATGGCGACGACAGTGTCAGTGGACCAGAGGAAGTCGAGCAAGCCAACGAAGAAGAGCAGCAGCGAGATGTGAAGAAGGTTAGGAAGCCACTCCAAGGCTGTACCGAGCCTCCACTTGCGCACGTTGTCATATCGATACTGGAACTGGCGCCCACGGGCGTCCACAGACGGGTGTAAGTCTCCACCAAGACTAGCCAGCCATTGTTTGGCAAGGATCGTGAGGAATGCCACCGACACGCTGATGATCAGGCTCGCCAACCAGAACGAGTTCACGCGAATAGCGTAGTTCCTGGGCGTGAATGGTGTCGCTCCTGGTTGTAGCGACGTCGCATTGCCGTTCATGGGCGTTGTCTGATTATCCCGCAGCGTAACGAGAATCTCTTGGAGCACTTCGAGAGAGGCCGCATTGTCGTCGGAACGAAGTGTGGGATAGGACAAGACAACGAAGGCAGTTACGACTGCCGAGAACAGGGTCGCCTGTGGTGTTCATGAGTTACTAGTACAGATCACAAGGGTGTAGGCGAGGGCACTGACAAAGAGCAGAAGTGGGTCCATTTCCTTGTTCCATTTCTTGATGAACTTTCGTCGCCATTTCTTTGCCTGCCTGACATAGAGTTTCCAGACGTCTTTGGGCAGATCCGACTGCAGAATCGTAGCTTTGCTTTAGCAGCGTCCGATGACGACTGCCGCACAGAGCAGCATTAAGCCGGTGACTTCGCCATGATGCCTTATAGCAAAGGCTACACGCGTAAGATAATCTAGCGTTAAGATGATAAGAAGTCCGCGATCACTGCGCCACGGATGCACAGTGTGATGTGTAGCTGGATGTCCTGCACCAGAATCTCCTCCCGATGACTGTAGCACGTCGTGATCGCCATTATATAGCTGTTGCTGGGGACGAAGGTCACATTTTGTTATAGATCACGTTCACTTGAGAAAGACCTACAGTATATTCAGTGTTGGTGCTGTTGTCGTAGCATGGAACAAACTGTGTTCAGTTCATTGAATCGCACTCGTGCGAAAACATATCTGAGCTTGTACAGTACCTGACGTTGCGGCTACAACTTCCACGCACGGTGTGACATAGACTCAGACAAGAAGCGCTATTCTTGTTTCAGTATACCGCACCAAGGAATCTACGAAGACCGAACGGAAACACTGACTCAGGACTCAATCGCCCTCCGCCGAGGCCGATTTGTCCGAGGTCCTAACTCCTTTAGAAAATAAAGGAGAGTCAGCGTGCCATGACCCCGCGCACTACATCGCTTACCGGCAGTCTTAGGACCCTCAGCCATGCGAAAACAAGAGCCGAGGAACATGGTATAATTCATCGAGAGGCCGCGGGGGAACACACCGATGTCGTCGGGGAAAGATGTGCATTTTCCATAGAACCTTCCAAACCGGTGAGCGCGAACTCGGGTCTGATGAGTCGCACATGTACTCACCGAGGCATGCGAAGGGGTGCGCCACTAAGCGTTATTCTCGGGGGAAATGCGCCTCACAGAGTTCGCATCAAGTTTGCAAATAGCGCCATGCTCAGCGTGATCCTTGTTTTGGCGCAGGTTCAATCCGGCCTCAGAGCGCGCGGTTTGCGACATACAACGAACTATTCAGCGCTAGAGCACACGCGCTCGGACAATGACTTCAGAAAAGACGGCTTACGAGTACGCCAGCCAGCTAAAACTCATCAATTTTGGTTTCCCTGTGGAATAACACTGGAGACGATACCATCGAAGATTGACTGCGCTGACAAAGACCACGCATCAGCGAAACGTTGACATGGCAAACGTGAGCATACCCGATCTCGCAAAAAGGTAGAGAGCCAGGAATGATTACTGGGTACCCTGAAAGCGTCGACATACCAGAGTCAACCGAGCGAATTTCAAGCTCTCGGGACATGAAAAGATTTTGCGGACACGCTACAGGCCTTCAGACAGGACCCCGCAAAGAATGATACCTATACATAGTGATCGTGCATTAGTCGGATAGTAACTTTAGGGGGGAAAACCGGCTTCAGAGGCACTCTGAACCACACAGTACGGTATTCACGGGAATTTATGCTTCTTAGATTCGCGTCTGCTCGATCAGAGGGGAGAGGGGGATCGCGATTGGTTGAAGCATAGTGCAAAAGCCTTAGCTCGGTTCCAGCAAATTCAATAGAGATAATGCCGCGCGTCGAGACGGGAGCGATCGCACTGATCGGGTGAAGCTGAGACTTGGCTCTGCACGACACGCGCTAGCGCGACCTGGAACATTGATAGGAGTGTTAGGAATAAATTTGACTCAAAGAGCAAAGGATCGTACTTGAGAGGATCCGTTCCCCAATGGTCAGCATGCCAATGTTGGAAGAAGCTTCGATTGCGAACCATATCTTTGCTCACGTACCTCTGCCTAATCTGAAGTAGTCGGAACAGCCTCAACACGTAGCTTCATGGCTCTTCTGGCCAGCAATGCGGTTCAAAACTATACAGCCAACAAAGGGTCATGATCAGCTGATCGAGAACCTATGGTAGAAGCATAGGCAGGGACAGGCTCGTAATGAAGGCATCAATACACCTCTCACGATAGCAGTCATCACTTACATCCATGACGGTGACTCGTCACTTATCAGCGACATTAAGCGGCACGTACGCCTTTCCGTCCTCCTCCAACAGTCCTTGTACGAGCTTCAAGCCCGCAAGGACCTTCTCCTCCTGCAGCCTCCGGCCAACGACCTGCACGCCGACGGGGAGGCCGTGCATCTTGTCCGCGTCGTACATCTTATACTGACCGCGCTCGATCGCGTTTCGGGGCTTAAACGAGCCGAGCGCGTCGCGCGCGCGGTCGACGTGCGTGACAGGGAGCACGCCTGCGGTATAGTCCAGCTGGGCAGGTACTCCGGACATCAGCGAGTGTCCGGGAGCACGAGGCGAGAGGGCAGAAGCGTACCAGATTGAAGAGGAACGAATACCCACACGCCTTCCAGCCCTCCTTCATCCCTCCATGGGGCACTGCGGGCAGCGAGTTCGGCACCGTCACGATGAAGTCCAGCTCCTGTTCGCTCATCCACGCGTGCCAGCGCTCGCGGTACGACTCGCGCTGCGCGATGAGCGTCAGGTATTCGGGCACGGACTTCTCCGACCACGCGTGAACGAGCGAGGCGTAGAGCGGGTCGTGCTGGACATAGCGGAGGTACCACGCGTAAAGCGCTTTGACGAGGCGTGGGGCGCGGAACATAGAGAGGGCGGCGCGCATCGCGGGGTCGTTCGTCTCGCCGGTGCGGATGGGCGTGGTGCAGCGCTTGGCTGTGCGGGTGAACGCGGTGAGCGGGTGAACGTTGCGCACAGCAGAAGAGCAGAGACGTACCGCCATCGGCCATGAGCAGCTGCGAGGCAAGCTGGAGACCTTCGGCTGGGCTTGGTGGATTGCTGCATCGAACCTGAGTTAGTTGACCCGCTTGTCGGAGTCAAGGGAGACGCACACGGTGACCACTTGGTGCCCATGCGCTTCCAATGTCTCCACGACCGTCTGCAGTGCCCGACGACAAGCCGGCGAAGGCGCGACCACACCTGAATCAACACACATTAGTCACCAGCCACACACAAGGCGCACCTCCGCTCACCATCGTCCCACATAACACCCCACTTGAGGCCCTTCTGACTGGAGAGGTCCACCTCGCGCCACGGCAGCGGGAGCACCGCGTTGTCGTACTCCCACGGCTTCATGCTCATCACGGCGCGCCAGAACGTCTCGAGGTCGTCGAGCGTGCGCGCCATCGGGGAGAACGCCACGCCGACGCCCTGCTCGCCGGGGACGCTCGTGTGCGCGTTGCCGGACTTGAGGAAGCGGAAGGAGGACGCTTTGACCGTGTATACCCCAGAGTAGTGGCTGTTCGTCGTCAGTCAGATAACTTCGAAAGACGACAGACGACCACTCACGATGGAACGCGGACCGAGCCCGCTCCGTCCGACCCAACCCCGACCCGCGACCCGCCAAACGCGATCAACGCAGCTTCGCCCCCAGACGACCCGCCGGGCACGTAATCCTTGTTGTGCGGGTTCGTCGTCGCGCCAAACACGTCGTTCGCACACTCGAACGAGAGCATCGTGATCGGGACGTTCGTCTTCACATACGGGACCGCACCCGCATCGCGAAGGAGCTTTGCGAGGGCGGAGTCCTGCTGGGTGATGCCGACCCACGCGGAGTAGCCTATGCACGCGTCGACGCCCGCCACGGAGATCTCGTCCTTGAGGCTGACGGGCATGCCCGCGAGGGGCCCCTGGGTGTTGCAGCCATCCGCGGACGCCTCTGCGGCTTGAATGAAAACCTCGGTGAGGCAGTTGGTCGCGGCATGCGCTTTGAGGGTGGCTTTGCCGTAGGCGACGAGGACATCGCGTGGGTTGAGCGAGCCGGACTGAACGCTGGCGACAAGCTGGGAGATGGGCTGGGCGAGGATGTCTTTGTCAATCGCGCTCAGTGGGGTATGGTAGACGGCGGGTAGGCTCTCGATGCGGGTGCGACGCTCTTCTTGCTTGGCATGGCTGTAAGAACAGAGGCCATCAAGACATGCTCATGACGAGGACGAGCGCACGACTCACCAGGCACGGCGGTGGGCGAGGTATGAGAACATCGCACGCTGTATACGAAGGCGAGAGGGGCCCAGTGTTGAACACTGTCAGCTCGTACTATTGACCATATATGCACTGTAGAACAAGGAACGGCCCCCACGGAGGCCTTCGGATAAGGAAGGCTGGTCATAGGAACATTGTCGAGGCAAGAAGCAGAAGGCCGAACGACGTAGCTGCCACCGCCAAACCTTAACGGGAGTTATTGTGGCTGAGAAGACGATAATCTGTGTTCGACGTACGTACGCGGAACGGAATGCAGAGTCCGGGAAGCACCTACGAGGGGCATGGAGGATTGTGAGGCACGCGATCAAGTCCTGAAAGTAGGGACGAAGCGGAAGCGCACGCACCCGGGAGCCCGACCATCATCCATGCCCTTGTCACGCCGTTTCGACGAGTCGACAACAAGTGGGCAGCGCAGGCGAGAGATTGCTCGGAGACGGTTCGGTGTGGTTGTAACCTGAATTTGGATTTGCAACAAGCCAAGGCTGACAACAGAGTCGTCGGGGCACGTATCGTGCAGAACATACCCATGATTACGGTCGTGTCTTGCGCCCAGAGCCATACAGGGGATGCAATGCACTGCTCGCAGCTACAATTGCCGCGTTGGGCTCAAGTCCAGACAGACGGGGGTTGAAGATGCAAGCTCAAACGCAGAGGATAGGTAGTTGGTGAGGACAACTCTTTCTTGCTCGGTGCCTTCACCTGGCAATCTGCAAGAAGCACATGCTTTTCAGGAACTTTAGCCGCAAGCTGGTACAATTGGGATGGAGAGATACATACGAGGCTCTGTGTAAGTGTCTAGACGTAGATTGGACGTATATATGTAGGGCACCACAACTTCAAAGATTCACTGTCGCTGACACTGTCACTATCAGAAGCGGTACTGTAGCGCACGTGATATATGGATGACCAGGCCGCCGAGGAGGGAGCGCCGAAGCACCTCTCTCAAATACCACACGTCTATCTTTTCATGCCATGGGAAACAGCGCACTTCGCGGGTCATCACAGCATCAACTTCCCCTCAGGACGCTTATACAGATCCGTCTTCAAGCTTTACGAACAATTTCCTCGTCAGCTGAGGCCTCAAGTAGCCAGACAGGCATCCAACGCTGCTGCCACGAATCCCGATGACTTGACAAAGACTACTGTACTATGGATACACAGCACACCGCCAAGGACGGCCGCGAACTCGCGCGGTCGATCTTTTACACGGTCAATCATCCATTAGGAGTAGCATATCGCGATATGAGCCTAGGTACGAGCGACTCCCAGCAATGAATCGTCCCGTTTCTCCGACTGAACTGCCTCACGAATTCGACCTTGCCATACAGTATTGCCCCCGGGTCGCTTGCTTGCCTGAGCCCTACGCTCTTCTTGTTTTGGTACTCGCGACATAATCAACGCCAAAGCTCTAAAGACGGGAGACAACTACAGGTGTGGATGCCGGTGTATCTAGGCGCCCGCTATGCTAATGAGAGGGCCTGCTACTCGAGTCATGCCTATTCACCCGCAGATAGCCTCAATCTGATCATTCGGCATTGCGGAAGGGCGTCCATCGCATTCCCAGCCATACAAGTATCTTCCGTCCGCCGCGCGGCCGCCCTGCATTCCTCCCTCGAGCCCCGCGTCCCTCCCTCGTGTTCGCGATGTCTAGCGCGGGTTACCAGCCGCTCAAGACTGACGATCAGGCCTACGACCACCCGCAAGGCCCTCCCGCGGGTCGTGGGAGCCCACGCTCCCGCCGGATTGCCATCTCGGTATGCTTCGTCGTTTGCGCAGCGGCCCTCTCCCTCCTCTACGCCTTCCCGCCCTACTTTGGCCCAGACACGCTCACTACCTCGTCCTCGTCCCCTGGAGCGCTCCTCGACCATGAAGGGCCTCTGAAGCAATGCGCGGCAAGCGGCCCGCCCCCCGCCTCGCCCCCAGCACCTGTCAACCCTTGGGCCTCTCTCACCGTCCCAGAGACGACCGCGCTCACGGACTGGCTCAATGTCCCGGAGCGCGCACTCAACCTCACCCCGGGCACGTCCGCACACATCTCGGACAACTATATCTACCACATCGGCGCATGGCGCCCCGCCAAGGCCGACGCGCTCGCGTACCTCGCCGACCCGCAGGACACCGCGCCGCCCGACCGTTATGCGCGGGTGACGATCCACCACGGCGCCGCGGCGGAGCCGACAGTGCAGGACTACTTGGTGGGCCCGCTGCCTGTGAGCGGCGCGACAGGCATACGCCCTCTAACAGAGGTGTATCACCGCCCGGAGATCCCATACAACGCGCGAGGGTACACGACCCTCGCTGAGCTGCAGCCGATTCTCATCGACGTCATGCCCAAGATGGCGGAGGCAACCCAGGTGTGTGTGGCCGCGCTCGCCGTCTGTGTGTGCCTGCTAATTGGATGCGGGTGTAGGAACTGTTCGGAGGCGTCGCGCTGGGGCTCGCGAACGACACCCTCGTTGGAGGCGCGGTGGGCCCGCTGAGCTTCGACGGGTCCTTCCGGAGAGGTTGGATCAACTGGCGGAGGAACGTCGCAGGGCCGTACCTCCACCCGGTCGGGTTCTTCCTCTACGTCGACATGACCGGGACGGATTCCAATGAGTGGAAGCTGCTCAAGGTGTGTCAATACCCATGACGAACACGACAGCATGGCTCAGACTGTGTGCGGCAGATCGTGTACAACCACCAGGTGTTCGAGGGCGTGGATGACTTCATGGGCGCGTTCCGGAACGGCACGCTGAGGCGCCTCCCCGCGCGCCCGGACAACCACGACATCGACTGGACGACGCGCAAGCGCCCCGACGGCCCCCGCCGCGACCTCGACCACCTCCCCGGCCCGCGCTCGGTGTCGTTTGCGGGCCTGCGCTTCCGCGTGGACAGGTGCGTGCTGTGTCAGATGAGGGGGCGAGTGCTGACTGCGCTGTGGGTTGTAGGGAGACGCAGTACGTGAGCTGGATGGGGTGGGGGATGTACCTCGGCTTCGATCGTGATATGGGCCTCAGCTTGTGGGACATCAAGTTCCGGGGTGAGCGCCTCATCTACGAGGTGCGGCCTCTCTTGGTCTGGGTCCTGCTCTGTGCTGATGACGGCTGGGTATTAGCTCGCGCCTCAGGAGGCGATCGCGCAGTATGCAGGCAACGACCCGATGCAGAGCACCACAGCGTGGCTCGATAGGTTCTTCGGTATGGTGAGTACATCTCGTGTCTGGTCGTGTCGCGGATAGCTAAGTGGACACGCAGGGCGGTTCTGTGCGCGACATGCTCCCTGGCTACGACTGCCCGCACGAGGCAGTCTTCCTTCCCGCGACGACCAACACCTTCGCGGGCTCTATCACACGCGAGCGGTGAGCATCTTAGTTTGGAAGCATCACAGTCGCAACGCTCACTCGGCGAATCGTGCTGCACAGGGCGATCTGCATATTCGAGCACGACTCTGGCCGCCCGATCACACGCCACATGGGCTACGCGGAGGGGGAGTTCGGCGCCGTGCGCGGGTACAACCTCGTCGTACGCTCCATCGCGACCGTCGGCAACTACGACTACTGTAAGTTCCCACGTAACGTCGACAGTGTAGGACGTTGACAAATGCTTGCGGACAGTGTTTGACTACATCTTCCACATCGATGGCACGATCGAGGTCCGCCTGTCTGCATCGGGCTACTTGCAAGGTGGCTTCTGGGAGCCCAGTCAGGAGGGCTATGGTACCGCGATCCGGGACACAACCAGTGCGTCTCACTGCATCGATATCAATGCCGCGCCTCTGAGCTGTTAACCTTCGCAGTGGGCTCGCTGCACGACCACGTGATCAACTACAAGGTGGATCTGGACGTCGCGGGCGAGAAGAACTCGCTGCTGTTCACGCACACGCACCAGGAGGAAGTCGAGCAGCCGTGGTTCGAGGACGACTGGGGCAGCACAGTCCTCCAGCAGAAGATCACGCGGACGTTCATCGAGAGCGAGGACGACGCGCTGCTCAAGTTCCCGTACAACTTCCAGGGCGGGTACTCGCTCGTGAACCGCGATGAGACGAACAGGTGGGGCATCCCGCGTGGCAATGTAGTCAACCCTGTGCACGATGTGCGTTTGCATTGCGCGTGTCCTAACATTGCCGGGCCGGCTGGCTGTGGCGCAGACGGTCGTCGGCTCATGGTCGTGTTGCGTAACGCTGAATGGATACGTAGGGCGGCTCTGTGCGATGCGCGGCCTCGTACTCGCAGGCGCGCACTGTGTCGTGTCGCCGCTAGAGTGATCAGCTGCGTCTCGCCGTCGTCACGTCCTGATGGAACGAGCGTGTCGGTCGCTGGTTGGTTGACCAGCGGCCTATGGTGCTCGTGACAGCTGTTTGACGTGGGCGATATGTTGACGCAGACTCGACACGGGCTTATGCAGACACACCGCGGGTCACCATTCAACTTGAAGCCCCTTCGACGCGCGTGCAAGCGGACCTTCTTCCCAGTCTGTAGGTGGAACTGGCGCAACGCTGGGCACTGTCGCGTTGTGCAGACGCGGACGAAGGCCTCTCACTCGCTCATGTGCCTCGACAACCAGCCGCCACAACGGGCGCTGTGTGGTTACTCGGCCAGTCGCACTCGGACGCGGCTGCGAACGTGTGCACGCTCGCGTGGTGGGACGTGATGCCTGCGTGATGCCGTCTGCGCGCGCTCTGCCTCTGTGACCGCCAAACTGCATGAACGTATCTGTCCTGGGCCCTGGCTATGTGTCCTGTGCTTGGTAGTCAGTCGTTGTTCACGCGATGGACCGCCAGTTCCACTGTACGCACCGGACCGGACACAGTGAGGGCTGTCAAATCGAATGGATTTGCGAGTTGAGCGATGAGCGGTGAGTGCGGTTCGACGGTGATTGGGCTGTGAATCTGACACCGTTAGGACATGGTCAAGGCCACCGGATGTGCACTCGAGCTACGTGCGCGACGGACACTGGACAGGAGGAGCCGTGGAAGCGGACGTTCGGGGACGCCTCTGGACCGTCAAGAGCGATGTCAGAAACAGTCAAATGGGCGTTGCGGCACTCACTACTGAGTGGCGGCTGCGCCGGCATACGATGATCTTGACGGGGTGTGTGTACCGGGCCGACGTCGAACGGATGGGAAGCAGTTGCGCACGAGATGGGCCATAGCGAGAGTACAACACGACACCGAACATCGTGATGTGCGCGCGGCCCGGGTGCTTTCGTATGTGCGGCACGTCAATAGAGGTGAATAGGGCTGCGTCGTTTTGCTGCACCTCCGCAATCTCGCATTGCAGTGACTTATGAGGGAGGCTGGATAGGGTGTCAGCGAGGGATGGCGGTTGTGAGTTACAGCGCTCAAAGTAGTAGCGCGAGGCAAGTCTGCGCTCATATCCAATGTGGGCATGACAGAGTAACCTGATGTCGGCGACCAACAAGCCGCCGCGCTCTAATAGTCATCAGGACGACCAGAACAGCGTCGGGGTACTTGTCAGGGCGGAAACGGTGTCGCGGTCAGTACGGGAAGTGAGCCTCCACAAGATTACACTCACCGCAAGGCCTGCTGTTCATCAGGAACGGCAAGATCGACTCGGAAGTCACCGTGGGGATGGCTCGTGCGTACCACGAAGGGGATAAACAGCCGGTCAGCCCTTGTCCGTGTCTGTGAAAGACATGCTCACCGACAAATAGCCTCGGCGCAAATCCGACATGGACGAGCAGCATAGTGCGGCGGCGAGCTATCGTTGTATGGTCAGTAGTGTGACTATGTATGTTCGTGGAGAGTCTGATGTGACTAACATTGGAACGCTGCGGCACCTCCAGAACATCATGGTCATCTGGCAGTTCTTGGTGAGTCGTGATCAAGTTGTTGTTTGAAAATCACACATACCGATATATGGCGGGCCCATTGACGGACCTCGATGAACGCAGAGTCGCAGACATAGCAAAGACAACTTACCGGCGGAGTCGGGATACTACATCACTACGAAGAGCAAGCGGCTAGACGTGTACATGTTCATGTGGACCGATCAGCAGTGGAGCTTCATGAAGACTGCGGCACCTCCAGAACATCATGATCAACCACGCTGCCGAATAGATAAGTGAGCCCTTGTCAGTAACGACGTTAGATGACGCACCGCGGGGTCTGTGAACTGAAGATGGGTCATCGAGGATGGCGTGGGGGAAGCTGACTGGCGGTGACTCGGACTGTTGTGCTCGGGGAAAGAGGCTGGGTCGTACGCACGCAATGCGAAGTGCCGCATTATATAATGTTACGGGGGATTTCTGTCGGTGGTTGCTGTCCGGCGATTCGATTCCGTGCATCTGATGTGCTGTATTTCAGCACCGGCTTGGGGCACCCTCGTTGTCGACCCAGTGCCTGGCGACTGGACATGTACTGAGGGTTACGTTGCGGACATGGCGCGGTCTGACATTGGGCGGCGAGAAGGATCATGGAGCCATGGAGACTGTGAAGCGAGACTGAATATCGCGGGGCGGTGAGTGTTGCGATCGGTTCCCCGGCTCGTTGATTGGGCTTCGCGCCTTGGACTTATGTTGGAACTTGGTAGTGGCCGGATGTTTCTGCTTGCATCGAGAACGAGGTGTAGTCAGTCAATTGCAGTGGCAATAGACCTGCGCCATGTGCCAGGAGCACGGATGGGTCCAAGGTCGAGGAACCTCCATAGTCCTGAAGCTGAGGGAGGAAACAGGTTGTCCTGCCATCGGCTGGAGACATCTTCGGCGAGGTCCTGACTACCTGGTAGGCTTCTAGTAGCAAGCTGCGCATAGCATTGCTCGTCGGAACACATCTGCGCTTCACGACGGTGTGTGATGGACTGTCGCGGGATGATTTTTTTCTGGCGTGCGGGTCTGCTCCCCGCGGGTTACCAACAAACATAAGCGCAATGAAACACCCGTACACATTAACGGCATTTCAAGGAAGTAGGTACGGCAAGTGCCATTTAGGTCAGTCGACTATACTTGAGCACGATAACACATTGTTGATGATATTACAGTGTCGGAAAACGAGCTTTCCGACATCAAGCATATGATAGAAGCCACACTACTGGATAGCGAATGGATAGTGTCATGAAATCAGCGCCGGTCAGCGGGAGTACTGCAAGACACGAAGCATGGGTTGATTCACACGTATTCTATCACATTTTTGTCACTTCTAATTGCGCTGTTGCTAGCCAGTAACACCCGTCGCGTACAGACCATGCCTTTGGGTGCGCGGGCAGCGCCGGGCACCTCCTCAAGTATAGTATCTAGATCTGCGTGACCGGGGCACTACTGGGGCGCGATGTTCAGCAGCGCGAGTGGTTTAGTCTGGGAACTTTGTTTGCACAAGACAGGTCCAGCAATATGCTTGGGACCCCGGGCATGCATTGTCTAGCATTGCTTGCAATGCCAGAATGTCTCTCGTACGGTTTGCGTACAATTGGTGCGGGCCCATCCGGGAAACCGATATCGGCAACCTTGAACATTGCCGCAGCGAGTATCTCACAGTGGGAGCAGCAATCCCGTAGTCATGGAGAATAATTAGACGGATGTCCGCTGCTCACGGACTAACCAACGTAGTATGTAATTGGTTCGGCGCTGTAGTAGAGTGCTGCAACATTCCAGGACAAGCTCTGTGTATGGCCGACCGCTAAGTTGAATCTGTTTTGTGAGCTCTGCTGAATACTATGCCATACTGTGTAAAGTAAGTCTGCCCTCGCTAAGGTAGATGTACCCAGTCTTGGATGTAGCCGAAGCTAGACTCTGTATGCCCATTTCCAACCGTATTTAATGTGCAGCCTTGACTCGATGATTCCGCAGCTTCGGACCTACCGTTGTGGCTAATCTCTGGTACGTCCAACTTGATTGAGATCCATACTATACTGAAGTTCTGCTGGCAGCAGAGTCATGCCCGGAAAACAATCAAAGACATCGCCGACGGTGCTACAGTTCGTTCCAGCAACCACCTACGCATTCAAATTCGAGTTCCCAGTCCCAGTCGCACCTCCGATGGACATGCAGGATACACAGACTGACAGGACTGTCCGTGATGCACTCAAGCATGAGCTGCGCGACAAGCTGACCAAGGCCCTTCGTACGTACCATCAGAGATGAATCTGTAGTATGTGCCACCACTGACCCTTTACATCACAGGGAAACTCACGGGTGTTCAGACGGCTTCCATGAAGTGGACAGCAGCAGGCTTCCTCAAGCACGTTGTCAAGGCACACGAGGTCATGCTTGAAGGATGGGGTGAGGATGTCCCATTCGAGAACCTCAGCAACCTCCCGAATGCAGTCGAGCGTATCCGAGATCTGCTTGATCGCTTCGAGAAAGGCGAGCTGCGGTTCATCAAGGTCAGCTATGCAACGGTCCGCACGCTCACACCCGAGACCGCTTCGCCTGGCAAGTACGTACCACCACGGAAACGAGTGATCCGGAAGGACTACAAATGTCACCGGGTTGTGAGGCGGCGGCCTGGGCGCATGCTGTCGGGGCCAAAGTCGGATGAGTTTGTGTATGACTCGGATGACATTGAGGAGTTTGAAGATACTGCGCACCTCGGTGATGGTCACGATGAGATACAGTAGATCTAGCCCGTGCGAAGAATAGATGTGTTGCCTGTGTGTCATCCTCATTTGGAGAGTACTACCATATTTGGCCACTGCCGTCCTGATTGCAAGGCTTATGCTCTGGGAATGAGTACCATCATTGTACGTACCACACAGAACACTTGGACAATGGAAGATACCTAGTCTTCATCCCAGCAATGCACACAGTAGCTGCTCAACTCGCAGATAACAAGTCGGTCCAGGATGTGCACCATGGAGCATACTTACAGCTCAATTAGGCCCAACACACATTTACTACGGCATCTCACACGCCAGTCAAACACAAACAGAGAAGGGTGAGCCAAGACAGAGACCCGCACCTCCTCATGTTGATCGGCGAGAGGCCGTGCGATCGCCGCGATACGCGACACGAAGGACTCGACGGTCGTACCATGACGACCCGAAGTTACATAGCGCGGTACGCGCTTGCTGCAGTCAGTACATTTGCAGTATGTACTACGTATTGAGCCGGACTCCCTCACCGCAACATTCCGCTCTCACAGTAAGTACCCACACTACAATGTTGCCTCTGAATCGTACACTGACAGTCCCAAAGAGCACAGGCGACGTGAAGGCTTGTGCATACCGAATGCCCGCAACATCGTCGAGGTCGCGACGCCTGCACCAATATCGCGAGTAGGATGTCCGTTGAACGACTTCGCCATACTGCAGGCCAACGCGAGGCCTACGCATGAAAGCTCGCGACACGCAGGTGAGCTCCGGCGGCTGGGAGCAAAGGTGTGTTTGCGATGTCATACTCGAGAGTCCGCACCGCGGGACACTAACGGCGAATGCGCAGAGAGCGAGCCGTCTTACTGATCAGTCCTCGCGCCCAGCGCGGCGTGTCGCCGTCCAGCAGACCGCCCGGAGCCCATGAGCACGGACAGCTCTGCGGCCTGCCGGACGAGCGTTGTAGAGCCGCGGCGCAAAGCCTTGTGCGTACCCGGTGACAAGCCATTGTCGAC